TCCTAAGGCCAACCTGCCTCTAACCGCGGTCTCCCTGAACGCTCCAGTCACGATTTGGAATGCTTCGGAGTGTGTCTTGGGGCCATCTTGGGCCGCCATGGTGCTCTCTTAGGGCCATTTTGGACCCCTGTTGTGCCGTTTTGGGGCTCTCTTGGACTGCCTGGAAGCCCTTTCGGATGGTTGTGGGGCGATTTGGGAGCCTCCCAGGCGGCTTCGGACGCCTAGGAGACCGCCGTCTTGGAGCGTCGGGAAGCCGAAAGCGGAGAACCCCAAATGCACCAAAAACCTACATATAATCAATGATTTTTATTTTTTGGGGCCTTCTTGGGGGTGCTCTTGGAGGCTCTTGGTACGTTTTGGAGCGATCTTTCGGGGTATGACGGCTTCTTGGAGCGCTCTTATGCTGTCTTGGGGCGTCTCCGATGACCCCCCTGATCGCCCTGGGTGTGCTGCGAAGGCTTGGCAAAACGCCCTGCGAGGCCCAGGGAGCCGCTTCGAGGCCCGTCCGGAGGGTCCCAAAGCTGCAGATCCCCGGGGTCCGGTTTTAGGGGGGGGGTGACGGGTTTTCCCCCCGCCCGAGCTTATAAAAATATAGGAAGAAGAATATGTGTGTATATGTATATGCATACAGATCTATAGCTTACAAGACTGCGTGGGCGCTTTGTGCCGCGCACCTTGGCCCTTCAAGCTTCGCATATGTAGGCACCTGGCGTCATCCTCGTTGGCTTTTCATCTGCGTCAGTTTCCTTTCAAGCCCCCTTTTCCGTTCCTTATTTAATTGAGCGCCCCTGAGGGGTCAGACACCGCCGCCCCACCATTTTTGGATCCTGGAGACTCTGGGAGCGGCGGCCGCTCAGCGCACGCGAATAGGAGATGTTGTGGTGATGGTGCTGGTGCTTCCGCCTGGAGGCCTCGCGGGGCTCTATGGAGAGGGCATTAGGCTCCCCAGCGAGCTCTCTGTCGTATGTCCCAAAGCCCAGGACGGCCGCAGAGAGGCTGGAGGAACTGAAAGCAGCGAGCTCTGTGTCGTATGACCCTGAGGCCAGGACGGCCGCAGAGAGGCTGGAGGAGCTGAAAAAAACTGCCAGGTTCGTCCCAGAAAGCGCGCCGAGGAGTGTCTTTCACATGACCCTGAGGCCCAGGACGGCCGCAGAGAGGCTGCAACAAAAACGGTCGGGTTCGTCCCAGGGGGACCTCTGGAGGGGCCCAAAAAGGATCCAGAATGGGTCAAGTGCGGCGACTTGGGGTGAACGATGAAAACAGGAAGGGAACAACAACAAAAAGCATTCGGGGTTTGTTTGCGGCTCCTGGAAGAGCCCCTGGAGGCTCTGAGAGGGCGCCGCAGATGGGCGAAATACGATGCCAACAGTGCGGCCAGAAGGCCCAAGACGGGTCCGAGAGGCTATCAGGACGGTCGTAGAGAGCATGCCCGGGCTCTAAGATGGCCGCAAGAGCCAGCGGAGATGCACGGGAGTTCCGAGAGAGGCGCAAGGAACAGTGCGAGAAGGCCAGAACCATCATCATCCTATGTGTTTGACGATTTTTTTTGCTTGTTGTGGTATTCTGGTGTGTGTGTGTGACTCGAAAAGAGGTGGAAAGGCATTTGAAACGGCTCAAAGTGGCCTGCAGGAGGGTGAATTTGAGCCCAGGGGAGCCTCAGGAGAGCGCGTGAAAGGGGGGTCGTCTTGGGGCGGAAATGGCGGCCACCGGCCGCAGCCGGGGCCCTTGGGGCCGGCGGAATGAGCGAGGCGCGGGGAGGACCCTATAGGAGGGGTTGCGGGGGCTCAGAGGCAGGGGTAGATCTGAAAAGCGCTCTGGAGAGATGACTTACACAAAGCACTTTTGTGAAGATCATGCTGTGGATCTCACACGCCGTACCCGGTGGGGCGGCGGATCGCTTCGCTCATTCCGCTGGCCCACATTGTATCACTGGTGCTATGTATTTGTGCGCTCGTGGCAAGCGAGAAGGAGGAGGAGGAAGACGAGGCGGAGGAAGAGGGGGGGATGAGGATGAGGAGGAAGAGGAGGAGGAGGAGGAGGCCTCTCGATGGCTTCTTGTGGCAGTTTGGGGCTAAGCTGGTCGTGGACATGGCGCCTCTTTGGGAGGCTGCTTGGGGTCTCTTGGGAGGTCTTTCGGGGGCCTTGTGGTTTTTTTTGAATATCCTGGGGCCTCTTGGGCGTCTTGGGGGCCTCTTGGGGCTTCTTGTGGGCCTCTTGTGAGCCTCTTGGGGCCTCCTGGGGGCCTCTCGGGGCCGAGATCTAGAAATGTCCGTTCGGGATCCCCGTTACGGCCCTCTCTTGGAGCCGCCTCTTGGAGGCCTCTTGGGCCGTGCTGGGGCGAAATCTTGGGGGCCTCTTGGGCCGTCTTGGGGCGAGATTGTGGGCCTCTTGGCCAGCCTTGGAGCGTGGAAGAACAATCGTCGAACAATGCAATGAGCATCACTGCTTTTTACTTCTGGGCCTTCCTGGGAATGCTTCTGGAGGCTTTTCGGGGCGTCTGGAAAGCTTCTTGAGTTGTCTTGGGGCATTCCTTGGCGTCTTGGAGCGATCTTGCGGCGTCTCGGTGCCCTCTGAGATTCTCTCGGGGACCTCTTCTGGGCATCTGAACCCTTCTTGAGGCTTTCTGGGAGGCCCTGAAGGCGGCGCCCAGCAAAACCATCTCTGAGGCGGACTTGCCAGGACCTTGCCGGGACCTAGCCGGGGTACCCTCAGGGGCGGCCCCGCGCGCGTGAATTAAACACTGAACCAGTCACCGGAGATTTTAGCACGGTTCTGGCCCGTTTGGCCGGCGAATTCGCTCTCGCCCTCGCATATTCCTGCGCCACCCCATATTTTTGGAGGGTGCGTTGGGATTCGAATTTCGAGGCGGAACCGATGACGTGGCGACGAGAACGCCACCTGAAGGCTAAATCCAAGTCGCGTGCCCTCTTCGCTGGATTTTGCGCCCGCAAGTGTCGCAACAGCCTGCGCGTCGATTTTGACACCGATTTGATCGTTCAGCCGTGAACGAGTGCGCATTCCCGTTCAACACCGGCCGATTTCTGACCACTGGCCGCGTTCATTCCGAACGCCCGCGCCAGTTTTGCCACCGCGTCGACACGACGTACACCTACCGCTATGGAGGAAAACTTGTTTCTTAGGGGTCGTTTTCTCCTGTCCAGGATCTGTTTTTCAGGCCTTCAGGGTATCAGCGGCTTCTGGAGGCCGACGTCGAATCCAAACATCCGAAGATTGCAGAAGCTCCAAGAAGCCTGGCAGCTTCCACCGGCTCCGAACGGCATCGAACCAAAAAGTGTATGAGCCATCGTAGACTTCGAATAGTGAAGTGTTGAACTCCTGCGGTGAAAGATTTGCGGATGAACCTGTGTGATGTGAGCAATGTCGTGGCAACCACTTGGTGTGAGCTATGCGGTGACAACTTTTCGGTGTTAGCTATGTGGTGGTAGCTATGTGGTGTAAACTATGTAGTGCGGGCGATGTTGTGGACTCTACAGGATGTAAGCTATGTGGTGCAGGACAGGTGGTCGGAACAATCTGTTGGGAACGACCTAGTGGACGCTACGCGGAACAAAAAAAACAGGTGAAGGCTATATGGCGTGGGGCTGACGAGCGCCCATGATGCAGCATGGGCGGGCGCGTTTTTTGTTGGGGCTCCTCGTTGGAGAACCTCTTGCGGGCCTCACGATTGCCTCTCAAGGTCTTTGGGGACCTCTGGAGGCCTCCTGGGCGCCTCTCTGGGCCGTCCTGGGGGTCCTTTGGAGACTCGTTTGGGCCGTCTTGGGTCCCTCTTGGGCCGCGGGGTTTTGTTGGGGAGTTGGGGCCCTCAGCGGGCGTTTCTGGGGCCATCTCGGGCCCTCTTTGAGTACGTCCCATGGCCTTCGTGGGTCTCGCTCGTGAGTTTTTGGAGGCCGTCTTGGGGCCCTCTTGGTCTATTTTGGAGCCCTGTTGGGAGCCCCTGGGGCCGTCTTGTGACGATCTCGGAGGCCCCTTGGGCCGTCGTGAACGCTGCTACGACACAGAAAACGCATATGTTGAACATGTACCTTTCTCCCCAAGAGATGAGTACTTTTGCCTCTTAGAGGCCTTCCTGATGGCCTCTTGAAACGTCTCGGAAGCCTTTTGGGCCGTCCTAGGGGCCCCTTGGGCCGTCTTGAGACCGTCTTGCGCAGTCTTGGGGCTCTCTTGCGCCTCTTCGACCAGTTTTCTGATTGCTCCGGGTCTGCTGGGCAAGGCTTGGCAAGGCGCTTTGGGAGGCGCGGCGGGGCTAGGGGACCTGTTCCAAGAGCGTCCAGGGTGCCCCAAACCCCCTGATCCCGAAGGGTTTTTCCCGCCCCTCCAGCTTGTAAACTTATAGGAAGAGAAATTTGTCGGAGAAGGCCGGGGGACGGGCCTGGACCAGCGCCCCGGGTTAGCATGGGGGCCCCAGGCGGCCTATCGGAGCTCCAGGGCGGCTCCAGAGGCCAGGACCGGATCAAGACCGCCCAACTTGCCCAGAGAGCGCTCCAAGCCGCCCCAAAATGGCGCCAACCAGGGCCAAGAGGCCCCCCAGACGCCCCAAGAGGGCTCCAAGATGCCTCCCAGGGAGGGATCCAGGAGGCCAAAACCACCAAGGCTTTTGGGGGCGAATTCGAATTTCCGGCGTATTCGCTTCTCCGGTTGTCGACAGCGCCTCAGACGGCCCAAGAGGCGCCCCAGGAGGCTCCATTACCACTTCCGCTGTGGAAGACGACCACTAGAGAGGAGGCACGTTGCCAAATCAGTCCCAGATATCTAAAACATGTTTGAATTATGTTTCCAACGCGCTAAAACATGTTCTAAACATGTTTCGGACGTGTTCACATCATGTAGAAGACATTTACAAGACATGGTTAATTCAATGGTAGAACGATTAGAGTGTCCAGTGTCATGCCATCCACAACGCTCCCGAGGCCTCAAGCACGTCCCCAGAGGGCCCCAAGACCGCCCAAGGGAGGCCCAAGAAGAGGGCCAGCGGAATGCCACGGTTGGTCGTGCGGCACCTTCTTTTGGTGGCGACGGCTCCCAGCATGTTCGCGTCGCCTCCAGGTTGAAGCTTCCAGGACGTTCCCAAGAGGCCCCCAGAGGCTCCTTGGAGAGCTCGAAAACGTGCCCAGGTATCCCCAATCTACCCCCAAGAGGCCCCAAGAGGCGCCCTCAATGCTTCCAAAAGCCTCCTGGGAGGCCTCCCAACAGGCCCCCAGAAGCGTACGGGATGTCTCGCGTCCACGTCCTGCATGGCGTGCCCTGCAGAGCGGCTTCAAGAGCCCCCCAAATCACGACCCATCTCCGGGCGTCAAAGGGCCCTCAAAATCACGCCGTGGGGCCCCGACAAGCACCCAACACGCCCCGAACTCACGCTCCAGGTCATGGGTGTGCCGCCATGGGCAGGCCGTCTTCGACGAGAGTTCCTGGCGAGTGCGTGTAATACCCGCCCCTGGGTCATCCACCCCTTCTGCTTCCGCCAATGCTGACGAAGTCCCATGGTCGCGAAGCGGCTAGTGGAGGCCAGAACGTGTCAAAAGCGTGAGTTGTTCTGCGGCGCCACCCGTGGACGTCAGACTATGTTCAACCCGCGGGGCCCAGAGGTCTCGCCCCTCCCTTCCCCCCTCGGGGGGGGGAATTTTCCGTCCCGTATCCACGTTTGACAGCATCAGGGCCCAAACATCATTGCATTTGGGTGCCGACATCGAGAAACAAATTCACGTTTTGTTGCCTCGGCCCAACGCTCAGAGTGTGTTGCGTGTACGTCTCGTGTGCGTTTATGGGTGTGGAGACATATACACGCACATGCATAAATCTATAACTGTGCACACATCGATGTGTAGCTCTATAGGTGCATCTAGCCATGTAGATTACTGACGCTTCGCGTATCCCCACCAGTGTCCCCCCCTCCCTTCGAGCTGGTGCCGACAGGGCAACTCCTCGTTGCTTCCGCTGGCAATCGCTTAGTGGTTCTTTGCATGTGCACTCTCCGCGTTGGGCTGTTGGGCCGCGTGGCACCGGCCTGCGCGTCCTGCCGCTTTGCATTTTTCTGGCCCGGCTTCTGCTTGTGCAGTTTTCTTGCTCTCTGGGCTTTTCCTTACAAACCGCTGGTCAGGTTTCCCCACCTGTGGGTCCTGGCTTGCTCCGCTTGCGAGCTGGCGTCGTCGGGGCGCCTCCTCGTTGGCTTCCGCTGGCATTCGCCCAGTGGCCTTCTGCATGTAATTGTCTGGCAGTGCGCCCCATTGCCTTGTGACACGCCCTATGGACTTCTCCTTGCGGGCCGCAAATCAAAAAGTATCCCCACCAGTACGACCCGCTCTCTGGAATCGTCCTTGGAGCCGCAGATAAAAAAAAATATCCCCACCAGCCTCGGCGCTGCTTTCCCTCGGCGGTTGCAGCAACTGCCCTCGGCGCAGCAGCTTCCCCCGGCGGTAGGTGCTGCTGGTGTCTGCGCGCGCGCCGGCAATTCGATCCGCTCGTAGCCCGAGCTGACTCGACTCGCCGCTGGCGCCTTCGCCTGCGGTTGTGACAAAAATATCCCCACCAGCCCAGCCAGCACGATGGGAGGTTTTCTCGAGGCCTCTTGGAGGTTATCTTGAGCCATGTTCAGCTAGAGGCTGTCAGAGGCAAACCTGACCCATGCTCAGATATATTGGGCCATCTTAAGGCTGCGTTGAGGCCTCTTGGAGGTTTGTAGGAGGCATCTTGAGCCATGCTCGACCTCTTGGGGCCATTTCCATGGTAGGAGAAGGAAGAGGATAAGGAGGAGGAGGAGGAGGAGGAACAGGAGGAGGAGCAGGAGGAGGAGGAGGAGGAGGAGGAGGAGGAGCAAGAGAGAATGAGGAGGAGAGGGAAGAGGAGGAGGAGGAGGAGGAAGATGAGGAAGAGGAGGAGGAGAAGAAGAAAGAAGGCACGGGGAAGATGAGGAGCAGGAGGAGGAGGATGCAGGACAGGAGGGAAGGGAAGGACGATGACAAGGAGGATGAAAAGTCGGGCTTTGGAAACAGGATGTTGTGAGAGGTTCTTGAAGGACGACCGAGGCCATCTTAGGGGCTCTCGCGGGGTCCCCGTGGGGCCTCTTGGAGTACTCTTGGGGCCCTCTTGGGTCTCGTTTTGGTGGTCTTGGGGCCCTCTGGGGGCTCATTTGGGGGTCTGGGAGGCCTCTTAGCCTCCATGGCTCGAAAGAGAGGGGGAGCGGGGGGAGGGGGCAATTCGGGCCCCCCCCCTTTCGGATACGCGAAAGTGGCGTCTTGGGGCCCTCTGGGGCCGCTCTTGTGTGTCTTTTGAGCGCCAGTGGGGCTGCCTTGGGGCGCTCTTGGGCCCCTCTTGGGGTTATATTGGGCCATCTTGGGGCCATTATGAAGCCTCGAACGCCCACCGGAAGCGAAGACGCGAGAAGGCAACAAACATTGATTTGCCTTAGGGGTTTGAAGGTTTTTGGCTTCTTGGAGGGTGTCCAGGAAGGCTCGAATGGCACTTGGAACCGTCTTGGGGCTGTCCTGGGGCCTTTGGAGGGACGTAGGGGGCGATGTTGAACCACCTTCGGCTATCTTGAGCCATCTTTGCGGCCGTCTTGGGCTGCCACGGCCCTGGAGAGTCCTTGCTGGCCCCCGAAACCGCTCCAAAACGTCCCAAAGACTGCCCCAGGACCCCAACGGGCAGCCCCAAAACGAGGTCAACAGAGCCACAAGAGCGCACCGTGATCGCTAAGAGCGCCGCGTGGTCGTCCAGTATAATCCGAGGCCGCAGGCATGAGGCAGGAAGGGGGGGATGTAAGAGTCGAGGAGAGGAATGCAGGGGGAGGATGGGCAAGGATGCGTGGAAGAGGGAGAAGGGAGGATGGAAGAAAGAGGAGCAATCCATGTAACATAGTGAAAGCCATGGATGGGCCTGCCCTTCCCTTCCCCCCCCAAAAAAAGGAAGCCATGGATGGGCCAGGATGAGGGCTTGGGGAATGAGGGACGGAGAAGAGGGATGCGTGACGAGAGAAGATGAGGAACCCGAGGAGTAGGCAAGAGGGACGGGCCTGTGGTGAGGCTTCCCTCCCTCGCCCTTCTCTGGTGTCCTTGTCATTGTCGACGTAATTTATGCTCAATCCGCACTTTCATTTGTGCACACGTACGGCTGTGTCCTGTTGCCGAGGGTTGCGGCGCGCTCGAACCTGAACGCGCGCGAGGCGCACGCGTGGTTCCAGCAGACACTGTTATATCTATATCTAAATATATGTCTATAAGCGGAAGAGGGAGAGAGCGAGAGAGAAGGAGAGGCAGATAGAGAGAGAACGAGGGAGGGATATGCAGACAACCGTAGACAACCGCATTGACATGCATGCGAGAGACGTGTAGAGAGGAAGAGAGAGAGGGATAACGATGTGTGTATATATACACATAAATACACATACATACGTACATATACATGTACATGTATATATAACACACGGGGAGAGAGAAAGAAAGAGAGAGAGAGAGAGAAATATAAAAATATAAGGGGAAGAGAGAGAAGGGGTGGAAGAGAGAAAGAGAGAGAGAGACCACGACAGAGTGAGAGGGGATATGGATAGACACATACGCATACATCTACTGTATTTCAATAGAGGCATACACATGCAGATAGCGACACCTGCTAAACATATAGCTGGGACCCGTCCGCGCAATGCGCACTGCTGCACTACAGAACTCGTCAAACATACATTGACGGTGTTTGTTTCCGGCCCTTGCGCGGTCGGCATCAATTCAATGCTGGCATGAAGTGTTTGACCCGCGCGCAGGGGTGTTCGAAATCCAGCACTGCCCTCACATAATTGAACGTGTATTCTGTCAAGAACGACGGCTCAAGGTATTTTTGACGAGGTTTTGTAGCTATAATACGTGGCCAGCACAGCGGTGTGCGGCGCCAGCATGGTCGAATGATTTCCTTCATGCCGCCTGCGTGCTGGAAGAACCACTGGACCACTGGCCGAGCACGCGTGAGCGCCAGGGACCGCTCCTGTTAGGTCCTTCGCTTACAATGCTGGAGTCAGCGCGTGCGATAGGGGCGGGCAGTGGCAGCGCGCGCTGCTGCTGCTGGGTGAGCTGCAGCACGCCCGCCTGCGGCCAGAGGTCATCAGCTACAACGCCGGGATCAGCGCGTGCGGAAAGTGCGGGCAGTGGGCTTGGGCGTCTCATTTGCTGAGCGACCTGCGCGAAGCGCGCTTGAAGCCGGACGTCATCAGCTACAACGGCGGAGTCAGCGCGTGCGAAAAGGGCGGGCAATGGCAGCGTGCACTGTCGCTTCTGTGCGAGCTGGGGGAAAGCAGATCCAAGGCCGACGTCATCTATACTACAATGCCGGTCGCAGCGCGTGCGAGGTGACCGGCAGTGGCTCGGGGCCGCTCCTGGCGCTCCCGGGGCCCTGGTCCGTCGCCGACGTTCCCAGAACCGTTGCCGCGGTCCCGCAAGGGCCCTGGGCCGCCCATGACGTGTTCACGAGAGCTCCGAGCGAGCCCCACACCGGCCCCCCCAGGGTTCCTTAAGGAGCCGAGTGGCCCCGGAGGCACTCCAGGCGACTCCGAGGACGCCCCCAGGAGCCAAACATTGATTTTCCATTGGTTTTTGAAGGTTTTTTCGGTATGGGCTTTCTCGAGCACGAATAGCTGAGGAGAACCCTGGAGGCCCCACGACGCTCCCACGAGGGCCCCCACGAGAGCCCCAGGACGGCCCAAGAGGGCCCCAAGACGGCCCTAGAGGGCCCCAAGGCGGCCCAAGAGGGCCACAAGAGGCCCCCAGGAGAGCCCCAAGAGAGCCCCAAGAGGGCCACAATAATGCCCAAGAAGCCCCCCAGACAGCCCCAGACGGCCCGTGATCCCCAAGACAGGCCTCACAGAGACCAAAAGGGCACGAAGATGGGCTCGAAGGGACCCTGACGGGGCCTCGGTGGCCGAAGCGTCGCGCCTCCTGGGGGCCTCGGCGCGGCCGCGCGGTCGCGCTTTCCTGGCCGCGCGGCCGCGCGTGCGAGCAGCAGAAGCAGTGGCAGCGCCCCGGGCCGCCCAGAGAGCCCGCGGGCTGGAGAGCCTCTGGGGCGCTCCTCGACGGCCCCAGGAGGCCCCTGCAGCGCTCGCCGACGGCTCCAGGACCCCAAGATCGTCCCAAGACGGCCTCACAGACGCCCAAGAGGGCCGAATCCGACCCATGACGGCACAAACATGCTTCAGAGACGGCCCCCGAGGATCGCGTGGACGGTGCCAAGAGGCAATACCTGTGCGTCTTCCAAAGATTTCGAAGGTTTTCCTGTTCCCGCCACTTCGGGCCTACAACGGCCCAGGATAGCCCCGCGTGCTTCCCAGATTGCCCCTGCACGGTTTCAAGAGGGCCCCAGCAGGGCCTGCAGACGGCCCAAGAATGCCCGTAGACGGCCCACGAGGGCTCCAAGACGGCCCAGGAGAGCTTCAAGTGACCCCCAAGTCAGCCCCAACCGGGCCCCAGATCCCGCCCGAGCGGGCCCAAAGCGACCTCCGAGACGGCCCGAGACCCCCAAGATGGCCCCAAGACGCCCCAAGAAGAGCCCCAGATGCCGCCCAAGAGGGCCGAAAGCGACCTCCGAGACGACCCGAGACCCCCAAGATGACCCAAGACCTCCCTGCGCGGCCCCCAATCGAGGCCCGCAAGCGTGTTTCCCTCACTCTGACTATGCCTGAAAAACAATGTTTTTCTGCTAATCGCCCCCAGGCCCGGCGCGATCAGCAAAAACCCATTCCGTTTCACGCTTCCAGGTCAGTGCCCCTGGAGTTCCCCCGACTGCTTTCCGGGGTGGCCCCCAGACGTGGTCCCGTAAACGTCGGCCCCACACGTGCCCCCCAAACGGGACCCCCAAAGGCGGCCCCCACACAAAGCCTCTGAAGGTCGCCCCTACCGCCCCAGTAAGCGTGGCCCCCGAACGTCGCCCCCACGAGTAGCCCCCAGGCGCCCCCAAACCTGGCCCCCAGACATAGCCCCCAACCATTGCCCTCAAACGTGACCACACATCTGCCTCCGAAGGTCGCCCCTACCGCCCGCCCCAGGGACGCCCGAGCTGTTCAACTTCGACGAGCTGGTCGCCTATGGCGTGCGAGTCCAAGGCTCAGCACGCCGTGGATTTAATCCACGGGTTCACACTAGTCACCTACAACGCTGGGATGAGCGCGTGCGAGAAAGGTGGACAGTGGGAGCACGCGTTGTCGTTGCTCGTCGGACTATGCGAGGCGCAATTGGAACCGGATGTTATCAGCTTCAATGCTGGCATCAGTGCGTGCGCAAAATGCGGGCAGTGGGGTCGGGCGATGTCTTTGTTAGTTTGGTTGTCCGCTGCGGATCTAGAGCCTGATATCATTAGCTACAGTGCTGTTGTTAGCGCGTGCGAGAAAGGTGGACACTGGAAGCAAGCGCTGTCTATCCTGAAGACGTTGCTGGATTCACAAGTGGAGCCAAACGTTATTGCTTACAGTTCTGGAATCAGTGCGTGTGCGACGGGTGGGCAGTGGCAGCAGGCGTTGTCTTTGTTGGACGGGCTGTGTGATGCAAGGTTGGAGCCAAACGTCGTCAGCTACAATGCTGCCATCACGGCGTGCGAAAAAGGTGAGCAGTGGCAGCAGGCGTTGTTGTTGTTCGCCGGTTTGAGGGCAGTGCGGCTCGAGCCAGACATCATCAGCTACAGTGCAGGAATCAGCGCGTGCGAGAAAGGCGGTCGGTTTCAGCAGGCGCTGTTTTTGTTGAGGGAGATGCGAGAAGCGCGGACGACACCAGCCGTAATCAGCTACAGTGCTGGAGTTAGCGCGTGTGGAAAGGGTGGGGAGTGGCAGCTGGCGTTGTCTCTGCTGAGCGAGCTACAGGAGGTGAAGCTAGTGCCAGATGCAATTGAACTCTGCGTTGCGACAGTGGGCGTCTGCGCAATCAGGGGAACGCCCAGTACACACTGAAACCTGAGCTAATCAGGCTCATCCCAGACCCTAGATGTGTGTACAGAGCTGTTGGCCTGGCTCGGGGAACAATGGGCTCCCAGGAAGTTTCCCAGAAGAAACCAACAGGGTCCATTTCGACCCAGTTCATCCGATTCGATATCGGTTTCTGCTGGTTCGATTCGATTCGGCTTCATTTTCAGGCGATCCGACGCGGCCCGATGCTTGCAATACGCAGCAGGTGTTCACTGTGGCGCAGCCGTTCCCATCCGATCCCGGCTCCGTTCCGGTAGCACGATCCGATCCGATTTCTCGATTGGATGCTGTCTGGTCCTGGCCACGGCAGCGCCACGATCACTTCCCGACGCCCCAACGAGGCAGGTGCATCTCCAGAGGGGTGCGGCCGCGCGCCAGTCGTCTCGGACCGCCCTCCAAGTCTCAGGAGCCCGCCTGGGCGGAACGACAGAGCGACCCCAGAGGCAACCGCGCTCATAGCGGCGTGCCTCCGTCGATGGCCTGCCCGACAGGGTCAGGCGAGCACGGCTCACTGGCAGTGGCCTAGCCAGTAGGTCTCTTGGCCTGATCCGTCCTGCTTGTTTTCCATGGGTTTTGTCCCGTCTATGTTTATCTGGTCTGCTCCGACCTGATGGATTTCGCTCACGTCTGCCCTGTAGTGTTCAAGCCACTTCAGGTCTGCCGAAGTGTGTGTGTGTGTGTTTGTTTGCTGTTCTGTTGTGATCTGCTCTGTGACCTGCAATGCTCTGGTCTGTACTGCTCCCTTCTAGTATGCCATGCGCGGCTCCGACATGTTCTGTGTCTGTTTGCTGTCCCATGTTGGGCCCTGGCCTGCCGTTTGCCCCTCTGTCTTGCCACTGCAGGCTCGGAGTACGATGCCTCCTGGCCTGCTCGGTTACTGCACACCATGCTCTGGCTTGCACGGTTTTGCCAGATCTTGCTGCGTCATTCTCCCATGCGACTTGCTCAACGATTCTCAGAGGCGTGGCCTGGACCATGTCAGCCGCGGGGCCGCGCGCGAAAGCGGCCGAAGTGGCGCTCTCTTGTCAGAAAGCTCTGCGCGGACCTTCACCCCCTCCGCTTCTGGGCGCGATTCGCACATGTCAGGCGACGCCAGGTGCGTCGGGGAGCCATCGCCGGCCCTGTGGAGTACTTTGGGAAGTCCTGGGCTGTCTGGGGTCCCCCTGGGCTTCTGAGACAAGAGGCTCCCACAGGGCCCCCCGAGCGTCTGCGGGCCTCGTGGGGTCACCCCTGCCAGGCTTAGAGCGAAGAGTCTGGACTTGATGACATGGTGAGAGCGTTGAGCATTCGCATGTAAGGGTGTTGCCTTGATATGCAGGAAGGTCGGTGGCGCGGTCATAGCAGAAGATCGAGCTGGGTGCCGCCTCAGATATGAATTCCGATGCTAGATCGGAGCTGCTCGCGACCACTTGTGCCTTAGTGGGGTATCTAGAGGGCCGGGGTGGAGAAAGCTGAGATTCCAGGAGAGGTTGCAAGGACATCAGGACCAGCCCCAGACACGTCATACACACTTCTGCACATGTTGTTTTGTTTTGCGGTGTCAGTTGTTAAGTGTTTACTCTGTTAACATGTGTTGGTTTATTGGGGGAAGGTCATGACTGAAGGACCCATTTCCAGCCAGTGACGCGTTCTATCAGATATGCTGTGCCCTTTTGGGCTGGCGGTATACTTCGTCCTCGAGCATGTTTTCGACTTTACGCAGATGTCAGAGTGAGGGAGCGGAACGGTCTTACACCATCCTTGGGCGCGTGACTACAGTTGGCTTCCGCGGTGAGGATTCTCGCTGTTGTTTGTTCTTAGTTGTTTGTTGTCGTCTTCCTTGCATGTGATCCGCCCGCGACCCTCCCGCGACCCGCCCGCGACCCGCCCGCGACCCACCCTCCGTAGCCATTTTGGCTCAAGTCCGTAGCCCTTTCGGGTCAGGACCTGGCCTCACTGGCAAGGGGGGAGCAGCGGCCCCCACAGTGCTCCTCCTCGTCTGCCAGGCCAGACGAGGGATTTTGGCTTCTCCTGCTCTCGAGCTGCTGTGGCATGGTCCCCGCGCCCCCGCAGCCCCGCTCCCAGAGCAGACACCAGGCCCGCTCCCAGAGCGGCTACAAGACGTGCTATGGCAAGAGCTCATGTGGCTATCAGTATAATCTGGTGGATTGGGCTCGCTGCTATCGTTGCAAGAAGTGGCTCCGCGACGACCCGGTTCGGGACACGGTCAAGGGGCCCCCCCGTCCTTGGTCAGGCGAGCAGCAGTCCAAGGATGCATGGCAACAGGTGGAGTCCACGCGCCGCAAGGCCAAGTCGAGCCCAGGCACGAGTGCTGACCAGTCCCAGTCTGGGAGTGGGAAGGGCGGCTCGGCCCAGCAGCGCAGTGGCAAAGGATCGGACACAGGTGGCAAGCAGACGCAGCGCGACTACCTCGCGGCTGCAGTGGAGCAGCTCACGCTTGCTGGGCTGGCAGACGACCACCCGCTCATGGTGGCCGCCAAGGCTCAGGTGCCCTCCGCTGCTGCTGCTCAGCCTGACGAACGTGGCCCACCGCCATGGATGCGAGTTCGGTCCCATCAGGACAAGCTGGCCCACTTCCAGGGCCAGCTTACTGCGTCGAAGGCGACGGAGGCCAACCTCCGTCAACAGATCACGGAGCTGGAGCAGGACCTGGAGGACTGCGTTGCATCCCAGGCGGCTCTGGCGGAATCGGTCAAGAAGGAAGAGGAGGAGCTCCAGAGGCTCCATCGACGTGCTGCTCTTCACCCTGCTGGTGATGACTGCAAGGCGGCTGTCAACGGGCTGGTGGAGACGCTGTTCGGCCATCTGCCCGAGTCGTTCAGAGTGGCGAAGGCGGACCAGCTCCGCACCGCGGTGGACCTCCTGGGCGACCTGGCTGCTGCTGGGGCCTCTTTCCAGGAGCAGGAGGAAGCACGGCGGAAGGCACAGGCCGAGGAGGCCGCGCAGCGTGCCATGTCGGGCAGCGGCCCTTCGCCAGCCCCAGCGGCACCCTCGGACTCACGTGTGGCGGAGGATTGCAAGCAGCAACTTACTGAGTTGCTGGAGGGCGGACAGGCAGGGCAGTACGAAGGTCTCTACAGGACCATGCTCGATTTCCTGCAGAACCCTTCAGCCCTCAGCAAGAGGCCCAGGAGGGACGCGCCAGGCCCAGAGGCTGCGGCGGCGGCGGCCCCCTCGGCCGCGCCTGGCCCTGCGGCTGCTGATGTTCCTGCTGATGTTCCTATGCCTGCTGACCGCGATGTCGCTGGTGCCCCACCCCCGTCGGGGTAGCGGGGTCGGCGCTGCAGCCGCTGGACGCCGCCTGCCTGCGCCCGCCTCACACCGAGGCAGGTGGCGCTCCCTGGCGGCGCGGGCTGGGGCTACTGGCCATCGACGAGTTCGAGGCGAGAGTGTGCAGGAGGAGACTCCTGCGGTGCAGGAGGAGACTCCTGCGGCCCGTCGGCCTGAGGTATGGAAGCTGTGTACGGCCAACATCACCTCGTGGGGCATCGAGTGCGGGGACAGGGGTAAGGTCACGAGAAGGCCCTTCCTGGAGCTCTGCGACTCTGTGGATGCCGACATCTACGTTTTCCAAGAGCACCACCAGACGGAGCTACGTTTGGTGGACGTTCAGCAGGCGCTGGTCAAGGCTGGCATGGTCTCACTCCTCACTCCTGCTGCCCCCTCAGGTCGTTCAGAGGCTGGCACCACTGGAGGAGTGGGCATTGCGACTTCGAAGCTCTGGGGCCTCAAAGGACTCGATGATTTGCCTGAGGGTATCGCGGTTCCTCCTGGATGTCGATTTCGTCTGGGGCTCTGGAGTGGGTTATGTACTGGAGGTGTTTTAGTCGGATCGGTCTACCTGCACACTGGAATCGGCTGCCGCGGTCAAAATCTTTCCTTGCTGCACAGTATTGGGGAGGTCCTGAGGGCGTATGGCATGCCGTTTATTCTGGGTGGAGATTTTCAGTTTTCAGCGGAGCAACTGGTCGAGTCTGGTTGGATTGGGGATCTTCAGGCTGAGGTGGTCTCTGACGTCTCGAATTGGACCTGTCAGTTGGGTACGTCTCGGTCGTCCATCGATTACTTTGTCCTCTCCTCCTCGCTCAAGCAGTTTGTGGTGAGCTGCTCAGTTGCGACATGGTCTACCAGTACCAGACCGCACCGCCCTGTGGTGTTGAGCATGTCTGGCCACCCGCGGCAGGTGACAGTTCCCAGGCTCAAGAAGCCGTCGGCGTTCCCTCTCCACCGCCCTGTTGGATGCGACCCTCGCCCCCTGGAGTGGGACGACTTGCGTGATCAGCTCTCCCAGGGGGATTGTACCAAGGACCGTTTGGATGCTGTCACTTCTCTGTGGGTTCAAAGGGCTGAGGTGGCGCTTTCTCGCGTATTTCATGTCGATGGGGATCCACGATACCGAGGCCGAGGAGGCCCCCCCAAGGTGGTGCAAGTCCCTCTGCTCGGCCCCCCTGCCTCCACTCACCCCAGGGCTATTGGGGAGGGCCGTATGTGGCGTGTCTTGGAAAGGCGACTCCAGGACATCGTGTATCTCTGGCATGGGCCTGCGCCCACCTTGGGGGGGATCAAACAAGCGGGGATCCTCTTGCGGAAGCTCGTGAACTACCTGTCCCCCTTCACCGATTGCAAGCATTGGGCTTCTTGGCGAGTTCGGGTTCTGGCCGTCAACCCTGCCAACGTCTCGGAGCTCCAGGAGTTGATCTGGCAGGTCCGAAAGTGGGCCCTTCAGCACGAGCATCATGCGGCCTCGGAGCGGGCCCGAGCCTGGCGTGAGTGGGTTCAAGATGCGTTATCTGGGAGCGCTCGACTGGGCCACCGGTTCACCAAAGAGGTTCCGAAGTGGGCTGCATCTGGGCTCTCTTGTTTCTCGGGGCCGTCTGGTGAGCCTCTGGGGATTGCTGCTGAAGCCGATCTTCGGGCTCAAAAGTGGCATCAGCATTGGGGTGTCGGACAAGTTTTCCCAGAGCCTGATTTTGGTTGGTGCGATGACGAGCCAGAGCTGGAGGCCCCCACCCATGAGGAGCTCTTAGCCCTTACCAGGACCTACAGCACGCACACGGCCATCGGAGTCTGTGGCCTGCATCCCCGTCACTGGTCCTTCCTCGACGACGGCGCTGTCGCGGTTTTCCTTCGGATCTGGGCCGAGATGCAGCGCCTGGTTCACATTCCGAGGTGCTGGGCTCTGCTGCTTATTGCTCTTCTACCGAAGCCGCCGCCTGAAGGGGGAGATCGTCCTATTGGGATCTTCGCGACGCCTCTTCGGTTGTGGTCCCGCTGGGCCCGATGGAAAGTTGCTGGCCCTTGGGAAAAGGCAAACCCTCGCGGGTTCTGGTATGGTGACTCAGGGGCCTCATGTGACATTTGCGTTTGGAAGCAGAGTTTCAAGGCGGAGTTGGCCAGAGACCAGGGCAGAGCGGCAGGGACAACCCTGCTCGACCTGGTCAAAGCATATGAGCACGTGCCCCACCATGTTTTAGCTGCAGCAGCCCGTCGGCACAAGTTCCGAGGTAAGACCCTTCGCTTCCTGCTCGCATCATATTGCCTCGACAGAATGGTGCTCTTCCAGAACATCGCCACGCAGGTGGTGGTGACGCACCGCACGATTGTCGCGGGCTGCAGCTGCGCGACTTCCCTACTGCGTCTGGTGCTCTTGTCGCCAGTGGATGCCGTCTCTCTTCGCTTCGTGAATGTCGAGGTGGCGGTCGTGGTAGATGATCTGCAGTTGCAACGTATTGGCGAGGCATGGGAAGTCGCCAGGGAACTCAAGGGGGCCGAGGACCTATTGGCGGCTGAGCTTACGCAGATCGGCTTGACTCTCTCCCTGCCCAAGAAGCACCAGGTGGTCATCGGCCAAGGCATACGGAAGGTGTTTAGGAAAGTCAACCCGTCCTCGTCGAGGTTCCTCACACGCTCGGTTCGGAACCTGGGGCTGGACTTTGGCGGTGGAAATCGGCTTTCTCATTCGGTTCGTGCACAGCGGCTGGGCAGGATGGCGTCTCGGATCCCTCGGTATAAGCGGCTCGCGAAAGCTGGGGGCAAGACGATCAAGCTGGTGCAGACTGGCCTCAAGCCTGGGATGCTCTGGGCAGTGGGAGTTCACGGCATCAGCAACACGCACCTACTGAGCGCCAGGCAACTGGCGCGCGCGGGCATGGTCTACAGGCACACGGGCAGGTCGCTCTCATTGGACCTCATGCTGGCTGGGCCGCAGGTCGACCCCGCCTTCGAGTGCAACAGGAGCCCGATCTTCCTCTGGCTGCAGGCGCTGTGGGACGGATGGGCCCCCAGAGCAGATATGGCGCGACTTCTGAGTGGAGCATGGACACGCCTGTCTAGAGTTCCTGTGTCTCAAGTTTGGTCTGACATTCGCGGACCTGCTTCTGCGCTAGTTGCGACAATTTTGCGGTTGGGTTGGTCTGTATCTGACCCTTTTCATTGGAAGACCCACCGAGGTCCTCTTGCAATTGAACAGATTTCCCCGAAGGATGGAGGTAGGTTAGTTGATGAGGCCACCGAGCGGTGGGTGTGGCGCCAGGTTCTCGCGAAGCATCCCTCGTGGGTCTCGCCCTGCCCTCATCCTCCTCTCGTGGAGCCCCTGAGGTCCCTCCTCCAGCCTCATTCTGTCCGAGGCCCTGACTGGACCCCAAGGCATCAGGGACTGCTGCGGTGCCTGTTTGCAGGAGGTTTCTGGTCGCAGGAGCGACTGTACGAGTCAGGTGGAGCCGTCAACCCGAGCTGCCTTGCCTGTCAGAGTGCTGGATCTACCTGGCACCGATTCTACGATTGCCCCCTGCATACCGAGTTCCGTCGGGATTACAGAGCTGGCAGTGCCATGGCTGGTCAAATGCTAGACATGGCTCGAGCTGCTGCGGTGGATACCTTGCTTTTCACGCGCTTTCTTGTCCCTGACCCTGCTTGGCTCTTCCCGAGCCCCTGCCTCGAGGAGCGAGTCGTGTGGACGGTGCGGTCTCCCGACTTGCTGCTCGACGTGCACGTGTTCGGTGATGGGTCGGGGAGGCACGGAAGTTTCTCTCGCTTACGGCGCTGCGGATGGGGACTCTGTTCGCTTGACGACAGCAAGCGAGTGGTTGCTCGCCTGCATGGCCCTCTGCCCTGTCTCATTCAATCTGTGCCAGCGGCTGAGCTTTTCAGTTTCTTGATGGCGCTGAGGTATATGGGAGCTCAGATGAAGTTTTATACGGATTGCAAGCCGCTCGTGGATGTCTGGCGCCAAGGCGTTGGAGCGGGCACCGCTGCGAGTGACCCGCTTGCCTTACTTTGGAGGGAGGTTTGGAGGCTTGTGTCTGACCGTGGGGGTGAGTCGGTGGAGGTTTCTCACGTCAAAGCGCATACTCCTGCCTCTGCCGTAGCAGAGGGACGGATTTCAGAATGGCAGCGTGTCGGCAATGCCCAGGCTGATCAGTCGGCTAAATGGGGTGCCGCCATGCATAGTGATTCCCTCCAGCTGCGATCTGCGCATGGCGCGTCGCGCAGCGCCATCCGCCTTGTAGCCCAGTTCTGTACCAGGCTGGTCGCTCGGATCGGCACCATCACGCCACGTGACGCCCAAGCGCAAATACTCGGCCGTGCCATAGGCACGATTGAGGGGGGACTTGGTCCCCCGAAGCCGCACTCGCGTTTCGACCCTGCAGTGACGGTGGTTGCGCACAGGTTCCGATGCATGGTGTGCCTTCGGTCAGCGAGGACACGCTCGGTGCTTCGCCAGCTTCGATGTGACGACAGGTCCAGCTCCCACGCACTTCACCGCGCGGGGCCTTTCCTGTTCTGCTCTCTGTGCGGGGCATTTTCGGAAAAGAAGAGCCAGGGTCTTTCGCAGGATTGCTTACCGATGAATCGTAGGCAGGGGGTCCTGGTGAGAGACTCGAGATACTACAGGCTGCGCAACCTCATGCGAGGCTGCCATCCTTTACGGGCCCGCGATTTTGTGGGCCCTCCGATTTTGCTGCGGAAGCGAAGGCTGCTGGAGTCGGCCGAACTGCCGCCTCTGCCTGCTCTTTCTCCTCCTGTCGGGACTGGGTGTGGGGGGGTGGGGGTGGGGTGGACGGGGCAGGAGTGCTCTCCGCCGCCCGCTTTCCAGGCCGATCTGGCCTTGTGGGACGGCCTCTCTGGCTTTCCCATTGCCAGCGTAGAGGAGGACGACGGCGACCCATCCCAAGGTGCGTGGGGTCGGGTCGAATGCGCCCCCTGCGCTGGCTAGCTGTTTTTCAAACGAAGGCTGGTTCGCTTGCGGTCAGTCTCTGTCAGTAAAAGCCCGCGACCCACCCTTGACCAACCCGCGACCCGGCCGCGGCCCATTCGCGGCCTACACAGGATCCGCCCGCGAACCGCCCTCATTGTTACGACGGAAATTCTGCGCCTGCGTTGTGGCGGGCTCGTTGTGCAAGGTATGAAATGTGCGCCTGCGGCGGGCTCCTTCGAGCATCGCAAACTTCCGACGACCCAGGTTCCCCCTTCTGATCCGCAGTTGCGGGGCCTTGGTAACCATCCGCGCGTTGAGATGCTATCACTTTGATCCGCCCTTCCGGCACGTACATCCCAAACTCTTCCCGCGGGTCTTCGGGTTCCGAGCGCGAGCTCACAAATTCAGAGTGCGGGCAGGCCCGCGGACAAACATTTTGGGCACGTGGCTGCGTGGCTCTCTTTGGATGGCACCAGTCTGTCGCCCTTCCCGTCCATAAAAAACAAACGCCGGCCACGTGTAGATAATTTTTGTCCGCAGGCCGGCCCCAGTCTGCTACAACGCTGGCATCAGTGCTTGCGAGAAGGGCTGCGAGTGGCAGCATGCGATGGTGCTGCTGCGCGAGCTGGCCGCATCGCCAGAGAGACCAGATATCATCAGCTACAACGCCGCTATCGGTGCGTGCCTGAAGTGCCTGCAGTGGCGGCACACGCTATCGCTGCTGAGCGAACTGTGGGAAGTGCACTTGGAGCCCGACATGATGAGCCTCAATTCCGCGATCAGCCTGTGCGAAACATGCGAACAGGCATGCCCCCTTCCTTACGCCACCAGGTGGACCGAGCTCCGCGCCCTGGCATGCGGTCGCCGCCACGCGGCGTGCTCTGCTCAAGCCGGCGGCCCAGAGCTCTCCCACATCGCTGCTCCCGCTCTGAGTGGAAGCCTCTCCCTCCTCTCTCCTGGACCGCTTGGGCGCCAAAAAGTGCAGCCTCCGCTCCAGGAAGGCCGCGGACAGCGGGGCAGGGTACTCCCCAGCCGTCCGTGCCGCTGCGCGGCGCTCCCTCTCGTCGGTCGGCCCGAGCGGGCTCTCGCCGTGTCGGGGCACTGCCGGCTCTCGGCCGACCGCTGCTCGGACTCGCGCTGGGGTGCCCCGCCTCGCAGGAGGGGAGCACCTCGGAGCGAAGGGCCTGCGGCGATCGCACGGGCCCGACCTGTTGGGCTTGCGGAGCCTCTGGGGCGCTCCGGAGCAGTCGGGCCTCTCGGGCCTGTGGGCCTCCTCGGAATGGTGTGACCTGTACGACCTGTGGGACCTGTGGGACCTGTGGGCCTTTGGGACTTGTGGGACCTGTGGGACCTGTGGGACCTGTGGGACCCTGGGGACCTGTGGGACCTGTGGGGCCTAGAGGGGCCTGTGCAGCCTGCGCGACCTGCGGGAAATATGGGACATCTGGGATTTGTGGCAAATGTGGGGTCTGCAGGACTTGTGAGGCATGCGGGACCTGCGGTACCTGTAAGACTTCTGGAACCGGTGGAGCCTGTGGGACTTTGAGGCCGTTGGGACCTGTGGGACCCCTTGAGACCTCTGGGACCTTTGGGACCTGTGTGACCTTGGAGACCTCTGAAGCAGTTGGGAATTCTCGGCTTCTGGGACATGTGAGACCTGTCGGACCCTGGGGACCTTTGTGGGATCTGTGTGAACGCTTTCTGGTTATGAACCCTTCGCGTTCTAGTATGGTTACCTGTATGTATACATGTTTACATATACATACATTCCTCTTCTTATACTTTTTATAAGCCCGGGCGGGGGGAAAACCCATCCCCCCCCCAAAAAAAAGCCGGACTCCCGAGATCTGGGGCTTTGGGACCTTCCGAACGGGCCTCGAAGCGGCCCCCCGGGCCTCGCAAGGCGGTTTGCCAAGCCTTCGCAGCACACCTGGGGCGATCAGGGGGGCCCTCGGAGACGTCCCAGCCAGATACCCCCAAGACAACACAGGAGCGCTCCAAGAAGCCGTCATACCCCCAAAGATCGCCCCAAAACGTTCCAAGAGGCCTCCAAGAGCACCCCCAAGAAGGCCCCAAGAGGGACAATTCATTGATTTTACGTAGGTTTTTGGTGCATTTGGGGTTCTCCTCTTTTCGGCTTCCCGACGCTCCAAGACGGCGGTCTTCTGGGCGTCCGAAGCCGCCTGGGAGGCTCCCAAATCGCCCCACAACCATCCGAAAGGGCTTCCAGGCAGTTCAAGAGAGCTCCAAAACGGCACAACAGGGATCCAAGATGGCCCTAAGAGAGCACCATGGCGGCCCAAGATGGCCCCAAGACACCATCCGAAGCATTCCAAATCGTGACCGGGGCGTTCAAGGAGACCGCGGTTAGAGGCAGGTTGGCCTGAGAAAGCCTCAGAGGCTCCCAGAACACGCCCTGGAGGCCTCCAGAAGGCTTAAAGAAATCCTGAGAACTTTGGTGAGGCCCCCAGATGCTCTCCAAGGAGAAGCCTCCGCAAAAAGAGCTGAGGAGGACGGGGAGCATGCCCAGGGTATGGCGAGAATGACGAAAAATAAACATGGAGGGAGGATAACGAACAACATTCTCATAACGGCGATGCCAGAAAAGGCAACAATGACCTTCCTGCCAGTTCCGCCTGCATACCAAACTTCAAGGACCAAGGTGCATGGCGCGAAGCGCCACTGCAGTCTTGTGTATATATATATATATAAATCTACAAGACTGCAGTGGCGCTTCGCGCCATGCACCTTGGTCCTTGGAGTTTGGTATGCAGGCGGAAATGGCATGATTGTCAAGCCGACATTTTAGCGATAATTCCTTGATGCCTTTTCTGACATCGCCGTTATAATAATGTTGTTCGTTGTCCTTCCTCCATGCTTATTTTTCCTCATTCTCGCCATGCCCTGGGCATTCTCCCCATCCTCCTCAGCTCTTTTTGCGGAGGCTCCTCCTTGGAGAGCATCTGGGGGCCTCACGAAAGTTCTCAGGCTTTCTTTAAGCCTTCTGGAGGCCTCCTGGGTGTGTTCTGGGGGCCTCTGGGGCTTCCTGAGGCCAACCTGCCTCTAACCGCGGTCTCCCTGAACGCCCCAGTCACGATTTGGAATGCTTCGGATGGTGTCTTGGGGCCATCTTGGGCCGCCATGGTGCTCTCTTAGGGCCACCTTGGATCCCTGTTGTGCCGTGTTGGGGCTCTCTTGGACTGCCTGGAAGCCCTTTCGGAAGGTTGTGGGGCGATTTGGGAGCCTCCCAGGCGGCTTCGGATGCCTAGGAGACCGCCGTCTTGGAGCGTCGGGAAGCCGAAAAGAGGAGAACCCCAAATGCACCAAAAACCTACGTAAAATCAATGATTTGTCCCTCTTGGGGCCTTCTTGGGGGTGCTCTTGGAGGCCTCTTGGAACGTTTTGGGGCGATCTTTGGGGGTATGACGGCTTTTTGGAGCGCTCTTGCGCTGTCCTGGGGGTCTCTGGGACGTCTCCAGTGACCCCCCTGATCGCCCTGGGTGTGCTGCGAAGGCTTGGCAAAACGCCCTGCGAGGCCCAGGGGGCCGCTTCGAGGCCCGTCCTGAGGGTCCCAAAGCTGCAGATCCCGGGGTTCTGGTTTTAGGGGGGGGGGACGGGTTTTCCCCCCGCCCGGGCTTATAAAAATATAGGAAGAGGAATACACTGCAAGCTGGTCCGTCTATGTTGTGCAACGTACGTGGTGCATCCAGCGTGGTGAAGGCTTCGGGGCGCAACTAGGTTTGAAAAACTTTGGGTTGTCCTGTCCACTGCTCGCGCAACTTGGTTTGCAAACCGGATGCGGAGGCGATTGCGATGAGTGCTTGGTGCTGGCTGGTGCATCTCTGCGGCCGCGCTAGCCCACGCATGCTCGTGCGCAGAGTGGCCCGCTAGTTTGTCGCGACCGACGCGACCGCTGTGGCACTGGCCGCTGGGCACTTCTGGGGGCACTCCATTGCGAGTCGGTGACTTGGCCAGGCGCGGTATCATGGCGACGTTGAAAACAGTAAACACGAGGAAGACGATGATGATGGAGGTAGTATCGATGATGGTGGCGAGAATGACTGTGACGACGGCGCGGCCAATGACGGTACCGATGCTGATCACGCCGGCGACGATGACGATATCTTCGCGTTGGTGATGTAGCTTTCTTGGAATGAGTTCGACGTGCGCGCGCGGCGACGCGATAGGGCTCCTGCCACCCCCCCAGCACGCGCGCAAGGGCGTTCGACCGATTTCGACATGCGGCGCGAGGAGGCCCGTGTGGTCGAAGGTGATGAGCATGTTGGAAAAGCGCAGGATTTTTGTTTGACAACTCGCAAGAGCGCGCGCGGAGTTTTTTGAACACTTGTGTTGCAAGACCATGTGGGGTTAATCTGTCTCGCGGCACTCGATGTTGAAATCTTTACGACACCTCAGGTTTTTGGCGGATCTCGTGACGACGCGCGCGTGTGCACTTCGTCCCAACGTTTGCAAGGTGGTTCTTGCGACAGCGCGCGCGCAATTGTTTTCGAATGATTTTGACATGCGCACGCGAGGGGTATGTTTGGCAGCATTTGATGAAACGTTTGATCGGCCGGTGTTCTTTAAGACTTCGCAAGAGCGAAGGAGGATGAGGAGGAGGAGGAGGAGGAGAAAGAGGAGGAGGAGGAGGAAGAGGAGGAAGAGGAGGAGGAGCAGGACGTACAGGAGGAGGAGGAGGTGGAGGAAGAGGAGGAGGAGGAGGAGGAGGAGGAGGAGTGGTCCTTCGCGCGGAAATCTTTGGTTATTTGGAGCCCTTCACGGGTTTTCTTGATGTTCAATTGGGTTTTAGTTGTTTTTCAATTGCAGTCACAGGTTTCTTTGTCTTAGAGCTACGAGCCCTGTGAGGATTTCAAAAAAGAAGTACAACCTGTGAGGGTTCCCAAGAAACCGAAAACCAATGGTTTTCGGGACTTCACGCTGCCTGGACGCGTGGAGGGGCCCGGAGGAAGTCCGAAGTCACGAAGATCATGCATTCTTTGTTTTTTGGGAACCATCACAGGTTTAATTGTTTTTTTTTGAACCCTCACAGGGTTCGTGGACCCAAGACGTTTTGTTGTTGTTTTTGCTTGTGTGGATTTCTTATTGTTTTTGATTGTATGGGTCTCATGACTTTTTCATTGCATGGATTTCTGAATGCTTTTGAGTGGATGGGTTTCTCTTTCTGTTTGGAGACGGACTTCTTATTGTTTGCGAGTGCGTGGTTATCTTATTATTTTGATTTATAGATTTCTGGCTGTAGTTGATTGTGCGTACGATGCTGAGTGTGGTGGTGATGAGGACGGATGATGACGACGATGAGGAGGGGGTGGAGGGGGGTGAGCATGTTGATGGTGATGTTGATGATGTGGATAGAGGAAGGGAGAGAGAAAGAGAGAAAGAAAACACGAAACACACAAACCACCTACACAAAGATACCCCCCCCACCCCCACCCCCCTCGTCCTCTGCAAATAAAACTATGCGCGCGCACTCGTGTATCACAGGTCATCATTTTTCCAAACCACTTCGCAATAAATGGGAAGAAGTGCACACGTGCGCGTCGTCGCGCGCACATGCCGAAATCCTTCAAGACCCTTGGGTTCCGTAAGGGTTTCAATATCGAGTGTCCAAAACAATCTACACGAAAACACCTGGTTTCGCAACAAGGATTTTAAAATAATGTTTCCGCTCGCGCTCTTGCGAATTCTTAAGGAAACCAGGATATGTTCAACATTCGTAACATGCTACCAAGCGGGCCTCGCGCGCGCATGTCGAAGTCGTTCGAACGCCTTTGCGCGCGTGCTGTCGCGAGAACCCTTTGCAACTGATGAGACGAAAGTGCACACGCGCGTGTCGTCGCACGCGCATGCCAGAATGTTTGAACAATCTAAGGTTTCACAGGGATTTCAAAACCGAGTGCCCCGAAACCATATAGAAAACAGATGGCGTCGCAACACAAGTTTTCAAAAGAGAGTGCGTTCGCGTCCTGGAGAGTCCTGAGGAAAACCACCGGTTTCTGCCAAACGGGCCTCTCGCGCCTCATCCCGAAATCATTCGAACGCCCTTGCGCGAGTGCTGGGGCATGATCCGTGTCAAATAGTATCATGCGGGCCGCTCTCGCGCGTCGGCCGCGCGCGCATGTCGAACTCCTTCCTAAACCTTCATCACCGACGCGAGGACGCTCGTCGTCGGCGTGATCAGCACCGGCGCCGTCACTGGCGGCGCCGTCGTCGTTGTCAACATCGTCACCAGCATCGCTATTATCAGCATCCATCATCGTGTCTACCGTTGTCGGCGTTGCCGTGATACCTCGCCCGCTCAAATCGCAGACTCGCACTGAAGTGCACGCTGGGATGTGCCCAGCGGTGTGCGCCACCGTGGCCGCATCGGTCGCGCAAAGCTAGTTGGCCGCTGCGCGCGCATGCGCGGGCTAGTGCGGCCGCAGGGATTCACCAGCCAACGCCAAGCACGCATCGCAATCGCCGCCGCGTGGGTTTTGCAAACCAAGTTGGGGGTGGGTGGGGGGATGGTTGCGTGAGCAGCGGAGTTGCCAACTCAATACGGACAGGCATTACGTGCACCACACATATTCTACAACATATGTAGCACAAAGGAGGGATTGCTAGAAACACACTGTTTGGGCCTCCCGCTTGCAAGCATTCGTGTGGCCTTGACGGCAATGTTCTTCAGTGCTAAGCTGATAAGAACACATCCTTCTTTTCATCTTCGCCCCCCGCAGACCATGGTTGTCATTCTTTGCCGTGAATCTTCGGGTGGCACCGGTTGCACTTAGGCAAAGTTGTTTCCGAAGGCGTGCCGGCAACCTACCATTTTCTGCAGCGGTGGGGCATCCTTGGTTTTGGCATGGGGGCGAGCAGCACCTACACTCGCACAGCTGGCATGTATCGCATTCCCCCTCAGCCGAGCCTCCAGCGCGGGCAGTGCAGGAGTAGCATTCCAGCGCCCACCACTGCCAAGTATCTACAGGAAAAGAAACGGTGGAACAAACGGGAACTGCAACATGAGCCAATGAAGCTTGCACGCACACGCTCGGCAGTCAAGTTGCCCCCGTCAATTTCATTCGCCTCAATATCCGCCATTTCGCCGTGCACAAGATGAGGATACATGCGCTGGATATCAGGGTCACATACGATGTCTGGTCTTTCGGATGACGTGTGCTCCTCGTGGCGTTTGTTCCCGTGCCCCTTCCTCTCTTCTCAAGCTGCTGCCGCAGCGGCAGATGCAGCCCGCGCCGATGATGCTCCCTCTCTTCATGGCCCTAGTCAGCATTATCCTGCTACGTATTGTTCGACATGAATCAGGATCAGTTTAGTTATATCTGGTCTTTTGCTGCTGCTTCCGCTGCTGGCCTCGGGTGTATTCGATTGCGCCTTCGGCCAATTCCGCGTCTAGGAGACCACGTCCTCGGTGTTCAACCTCGACGTTGCAGACTCTGCGACGGCACCGCTCGGGTGGCCGCGGGATTGGTTCCCCCTCATTTGTTTTTTCCCTCCTCTTTCCTTCTCTGCCTCTCCTCCGCCCTCCTCCCTCCTCCATCTCCGTCCCTCCTGTCACTCAACCCTCGCCTCATTCCCCCCTGGGAGATGGGACAGGATGCAGTGGAGAAAGAAGAAAGAGAACGAGCAGAGACATAGGGAAGATACCCGGGAAGAAGAGTTTGTGGTGGAGACGGAGGTTGGGGAGGAGTTGGAGGTTTGAGAAGGAGGAGGAGGAGGAGAAAGAGGAGGAGCAGGCGGAGGACTGTAAGACAGCTGCACCGACGGATATAGAGAAGTGTGTGTGTGTGTGAGGGGGGGGGGATGGGGGGGCAAGTTGGGTGATGATTAGGAAGAGAGAGGCATGTAAGGGGTAATTATTGCTTGTGCTGTTGATAGTGGCGTTGCTATGTCTGCGGTTGTTGTTCTCCATGTTGAGCGCGTGCTTGATGCTATTTGTGCCGTCATTCTTGATTGCATTTCAGTTTCTGTTGCTGCACATTCTTCAGCTACAGCTACTATTCCTCAAGAGGCTTACGCCATTCCGCCCACCCCCAGCAGAGGTGAGTCGTCAGTGGAAGGCGTTAGGACGAGATTCGAACGAGGTAGGGTCTTACATTCGTATTACGACTACTACAAGAGTGGCTAATGTCACGATTACCGTTTTGAGGACTACTTCGACGCGTACTGGAGACTCCTGGGTGCACGTGCCCCCCAGTCAGACGCCTTTTTGGGTTCATCATGTTCCCCTAACATGTCTTCAAAGTTTTCAGAGGCCCTCAACATCTGCAGGGATCTGCAGAAAAGTTGAGGATCATCAGTCGGAGCGAGAGGCTTGCGCTCATGCGAGTCAGTTTCAAGGCGAACGCGTGTTGCTGAGTCTGGGCGAGCAGTCGCCGTTGCGTTGCGATTATGGTTTCTCCCTCTTCTTCTCTTGCTCTTGTCCAGCGTTGGGGGGGGGGGCTGGATGCCTGGCTGGAGGGGGGGAGGGGGCGCGGCCTCGTCGAGCCCCCGCGGGGCGGGAGGAGGGGGGGGGGGGGGCAGTGGGGCTCGGCCAGGGGGTGCCCGCGGAGCCTGGCGGGGTGGAGGGAGGGCACGGGCGCACATCGGGTCTGACGAAGAAAGGGGGGGGGGTAGAGCAGGGAAAGGGAGGAAACGAAGTCTGCTGCGAGCGGTCGGCCTCGGCCCCTCCTCCAGGCACCTCCAGCGGCGGGGCCGAGACCAGCCGAAACCCCTTTGGCTGTGCCCCACCCCTCTCGTTCCGACCCGCCCGCAGCCCGTCGGTGTGGAAAGATGCGCGCCTGCGGTGGTCTCACTCTCATCCGCGTGTGCGGGGTTTGTAGTATGCTTCAGTGTTGATTGAAGGATCCGCAGGGGTCTTTGGGAGTCTCTACGATTCTTGAGGGTCCTCGAGAGCCCCCGAGATCCTGCATGCTTCCCTCAGCGGGCGCAGCAGACCTCAGGATCCCTCAAGATCCCTCCAGATCCCTAAGGTCATTCCGGATGCCACAGCATTCGGATTCCGACGGATTCTCATTGGTCTTTAGGGTTTCTCGGGATTCCCCACGTTCCGTCAGGATTCCCTAAAAAGTTTCCTATGGTTTACACGAGGTCCTTCATCATTCCTTTCGATTCCTCAGGATCCTGGAAGAAATCGCAGCATCACGAAGGATACCTAAGGGCTTCTCAAGGATTCCTCAGGAGTCCTCAGGAGCCGTCTGGATTCTTCAAGATCCCTCCAGGGATTCTTCAGGGTTCCAATGGTTTGTTTCGATTCGTCAGTCTTCTTTCGGATTCGTCCAGGTTCGTGCGGATGGTTAAACACTCTTATTGGAGCCTGTTGAGGGGCACATGGGGATCAGAGGAGTCCCTCTTCTGGCTACGGAGTCGTATTCAGGAGACCGCGGGAAGCATCAGAAATTCTCTCGCGACCGGGATCTGCTCAATTCTTATTCCATCCATGTTGTGAGGCATTTGAGGGTGAATGCTTGACGCGCGCTCTCGAGCCCGAGTGCTTACTTTTTTCCATTAAGTTTGCCCACTTGGATCGGAACAGCAGTCACAACAACCCCGGACAACCCTAGGAATAACTGCCACGACGTGCTCGCCGCTGGCACCCACCGCTTTAGTTCACAGTGCGCATGTGCGAATCCATATATATATATATATATATAGAGAGAGAGAGAGAGAGTTTTTTTTGTTTCTCTCTCTCTCTCTCTTTCTATATTTTTATAAGCCCGGGCGGGGGGAAAACCCGTCCCCCCCCTAAAACCGTACCGCCGGGATCTGCAGCTTTGGGACCCTCCGGACGGGCCTCGAAGCGGCCCCCTGGGCCTCGCAGGGCGTTTTGCCAAGCCTTCGCAGCACGCCCAGGGCGATGAGGGGGGTCACCGGAGACGTCCCAGGGACCCCCAAGACAGCACAAGAGCGCTCCAAGAAGCCGTCATACCCCGAAAGATCGCTCCAAAACGTAACAAGAGGCCTCCAAGAGCACCCCCAAGAAGGCCCCAAGAGGAAAACATCATTTATTCTATGTATGTTTTTGGTGCATTTGGGGTTCTCCTCTTTTCGGCTTCCCGACGCTCCAAGACGGCGGTCTCCTAGGCGTCCGAAGCCGCCTGGGAGGCTCCCAAATCGCCCCACAACCATCCGAAAGGGCTTCCAGGCAGTCCAAGAGAGCCCCAAAACGGCACAACAGGTGTCCAAAATGGCCCTAAGAGAGCACCATGGCGGCCCAAGATGGCCCCAAGACCTCCGAAGCATTCCAAATCGCGACTGGGGCGTTCAGGGAGACCGCGGTTAGAGGCAGGTTGGCCTTCGGAAGGCCCAGAGGCCCCCAGAACACACCCAGGAGGCCTCCAGAAGGCTTTAAGAAAGCCTGAGAACTTTGGTGAGGCCCCCAGAGGCTCTCCAAGGAGGAGCCTCCGCAAAAAGAGCTGAGGAGGATGGGGAGAATGCCCAGGGTATGGCGAGCATGAGGAAAAATAACCATGGAGGAAGGACAGCGAACAACATTATTATAACGGCGATGCAAGAGAAGGCAGCACGGAGCTATCGCTTAATTGTCGGCTTGACCTTCCTGCCATTTCCGCCTGCATACCAAACTCCAAGGACCAAGGTGCATGGCGCGAAGCGCCACTGCAGTCTTGTATGTATGTATATATATATGTTTATATATATATATATACACATATATTCATATATATATATATATACATATACATATATATACAAGGCTGCATTGGCGCTTCGCGCCATGCACCTTGTTCCTTGAAGCTTTGGATTGGTTGGCCCGTGGTGCCATTTTTTTTCCCATTTTAGCCGCGGTCCGCTGGTTCGTATTTCGGAGAAGCGCAGGAAGAGCAGACAGGGGGCAATCAACCTGGGACGGGCCAGAACTGCGAGTTGGAGGCCGCGGGCGCATGGAATGGCGCATATGAGTGGGGGCCGCGCGGGAAACAGCTGGAATCTCGGGTTCGCAACCGAATTTCCGGAAAATTGGTTGCGAACCTGGGATTATGAGCATAATGCGGCTATTCTTCAGGAAGTATCAGATGAAGGGGGCGCGGGGCGGCGGAGTGGTGCGATTTCGAGGGCGGCGGGTTTGACGGGCAGGGTGTTGGTCGGCTTGGCTCTTATGAGCCGTCGGGACCCCCTTTTGAGGGCCGCTGGGCCGCCTTGGGGCGCTGGAGCCCTTCGAGTGGGTTCGCGGGGGTTCTCACGGAGCCTTGTGGAGCGGTCTGACGGTTGCTGTTGTGGGGCCGTTGCGCCCTCCTGCATCCGCTTGAGCAGCGCTCGCTTGCTCCATTTATGGAGGAGCGGAGGAGGAGGCGGAGGAGGAGGAGGATAAGGAACAGGGAGGAGGAGGAGGAGGAGGAGGAGGAGGAGGAGGAGGAGGAGAGGAGGAGAGGAGGAGGAGGAAGAGAGGAGAAGAGGAGAGAGGGAGGAGGAGGAGGAGGAGGAGGAGGAGGAGGAGAGGAGGAGGAGGAGGAGAGGAGGAGGGGGAGGGGAGGAGGAGGAGGAGGAGGAGGAGGAGGAGGAGGAGGAGGAGGAGGAGGAGGAGGAGGAGGAAGGGGAGGAGGACGAGGCGGAGCAAGAAGAGAAAACGTTCGCGCCGCGGGGGGGCGGCACAGATTTTTGTCCGCGTCGCGCCGGGAAGCGCCGTTGCAGAAGCCGCCCAACCCCGCGGGCGGCCTCTGCCGAGACACCGAAGGATACCGTTGTGGAGCGGTTTTGGGGGCTTCTTGGGCGGTCTTGGAACGTGGGAAACCCGAAAAAGCGAGGACGCTGAAAACATTGAAAAACTAATGGGAAAGTAACCGTTTTGAATGTTTTTGGAGCCTCACCGAAACGTCTTAGGGGGCCTCCCGAGGCCCTTTGGAGCTCTCTTGGGGCTTCCTTGGGCCTTCTCGGGGCGGGAGGCTCGTATTTTCAGTTCGTGGTCCCCCCTGGGGCTCCTCTTTGGGCCGTCTTGGAGCGTTCGCGGGCCATCTCGTGCGCGTCTTGGACCGTCTTGGGGCCCTCTCAGCGCGCTCTGGGAGCTTCTTGGGCCGTCTTGGAGCGGTTTTGGGAGCTTCTTGGGCGGTCCGGGAGCGTCGGACACCCGAAAACGCGAGGACGCTAAAAACATTGAACAACCAATGGAACAGTAACAATGTGGGATGTTTTTGGAGCCTCACCGGAGCTACTTAGGGGGCTTCCCGAGGCCCTGTGGAGCTCCCTTGGGGCCTCCTTGGGCCTTCTCGGGGCGGGAGGCTCGTATTTTCAGTTCGTGGTCCCCCCTGGGGCATTTTTTGGGCCGTCTTGGAGCGTTCGTGGGCCATCTCGGGCGCGTCTTGGACCTTCTTGGGGCGCTCTCAGCGCGCTCTGGGAGCTTCTTGGGCCGTCTTGGAGCGGTTTTGGGAGCTTCTTGGGCGGTCCGGGAGCGTCGGAAACCCGAAAAAGCGAGGACGCTAAAAACATTGAAAAACCCATGGAAATTCAATGATTTTGTTCTCTCGGGCCCCCTTTGAGAACGGTCTTGGGGCTCTCACGGAGGGTCTTCAAGGCTACCCGGGTGCTGCCCTGGACTGTCTTTGGTGCCTCTGTGGGCTTGCGCCGACCGATTTGGCACTGCCGCCCGCCTGCGTGCACGCCTTGGAAAGGATTTTCGGCCGCCCCCGTGGCACGGATCCGGGGGGTCCCGTTTCGGGGGGGGGGGTCCGCACCCCCGGAATTAGAAAAATATAAAAGGGAATATATATATATATATATATATGTATATATAATATAATTATATATATATATATATGTGTGTGGTCGAGGGTTTGGCCCCCCCCAATGCTAATAATGCCATCGGGCCCCCCCCCCGCGCGATGCCCCCCCCCCACTGTGGGCGTGGGCGTGGCGTGGTGGCTCCTCCCCCCCCCTGTGGATGTGGTGTGGGTGTGGTTTGTTGCTGTGGGTGTGTGCGGGGTGACGCCATGGTCCTCCTCCCCCCCTCCCTCCCCCCCTGTGGGTGCGGTTCGGGTGCGGCGCCCGTCCAGGCCTCGAGGTCCCCCCTGCTGAAGCAAGCGATGATTGATTGTTGTGCCGGGGAAGCGTCCGAAACAAGGCGCATGGCGCGAAGCGCCAATGCAGTCTTCTATCTCTCTCTCTCTCTCTTTCTCTCTCTCTCTCTCTCTATATAGTTTCCTCGGCATCCGCGGCCTGGCTTGCACGTGATCTTGAAATTTGACATGACCCGGGGCGGGACTCGGCGGAGTGGGCGTTGCGGGATTTGGTCCCACCTTTGGTCCCACCAGCGAGACTAGTTATTTTTTGAATTACACATGTGTTCTGTTCGCCTGAGCCAGAACTTGCACCACATCGTGCCCCGCGGAGCCCAGGGAACGTCTGCGCCAAGTGTTTTGGGGGAGTGGGTTGGAGAGACAAGTTGTCATAATCACCACATTGCTCATCATGTCCATCATTGTGTTGATCATCGCCATGCTGATTACCGTGCTGACGTTCATCAGTTTGCGAGTCATATTGTCCGTCATCCGGGCCATCATCTGGACCATCGTTATGCTCATGCCCATGATCTCCCTCACGATGGACATTTTCCGTTGGCTCAAGCCTTCCTTTGGCGCGAAAGCCTTGGATTTTAAGTTTGAAGCCCTCGCCGAGCGCCCGCGCCAGCGAGACCTTCCCGCCGCCATGTGCGGATCGAGCGCTGCTGCCGCCGACGTGCGTGTCTCCCGCCATACGCGCCGCTTCCAGACCTACCCGCTCCCGCAGGGGGGCCGGGGCCCTGGCGACGGCGGCGAGCACCTGCGAGGATTCGCCACAAATCTCGGCCTCCCGGATGGGGTCCGAGCTGATGAGGTCGAAGGATCGCGCCGCATCGCCGATGCATCGGCGATGCGGCGCCATGTGGAACCCGATTTTTCTCCGCGCCGGCGTCGTCAATGCATCGGCGATGCGGTGTGAGCCTCCGACTACATCTACGCGGACCCCATCTGGGACGCCTCCAACACAGGAGAGGGGTCCTGAGGGAGGTGGGTCCGGGAGGTTTCTCGCCGCAGGAAGAGGAGGAGGGAGGAGGAGAAGATAGAGAAGGAGGAGGAGGGGGGGAAAAGGAGGACGAGGACGAGGAGGAGGAGGAGGAGGCGGAAGAGGAGGAGGAGGAGGAGGAGGAGGAGGAGGAGGAGGAGGAGGAGGGAGGAGGAGGAGGGAGGAGGAGGAGGAGGAGGAGGAGGAGGAGGAGGAGGAGGAGGAGGAGGAGGGCGGAGGAGGGAGGAGGAGGAGGGAGGAGGAGGGCCTTTCACGGGCCCTGGGACTGCCAGCGCACGACGCTCGGGGTGGAGAGCTGGCCCTGGGGAGTGCCCACCGTGGGCCCAGGGCCCGTTTCCGTCGGGGCCCGTTCCCTGGCAGCCAGCGACCTTTTTTTTTCTGGGCCCCAAGATCGGGACGATCTAAGTGGGTTCTTTCCAACAGCACTTCCTGTTCGTTTTGAATCAGACTCGCTGTCCGCGCCGCCGCGGATCGGGACGATCTAAGGGGGTCTTTCCAACAGCACTCCCTGTTCGTTTTGAATCCGACTTGCTGTTCGCGCCGCCGCGGACGTTGTTCACTGAAGACAGAGACGCCTGCCCAACTGCGGCCGCTGCCGGTTTTGGACAACGTCCGCTGTTGGGCATTGTGCCCATTTTTTCCGTGCCCAATTCGGGCGTTCAAGCCAGACCTCCCGACCCATTCCCCCAGGGTGGCGCTTCGTCCTGGATCCATTTCTGGTGGTCTGGGGCCCGGAAGCGGCCCCCAGAGGCTGAAGTCTGCTAGAAACGCCCCGATAAAAGAAACATCGTATCGTCGGAGGTCTGGGTTTCCTTTGTGGCAGAAGGACGGGTGGGCAGCTCCCTGCTGGAGGGGCGGGGCGACGAGCGGGTGACGGCCATCGCCGACCCTGACGAGATGGCGGCCCTGCTGCTGGAGGCGCTGTTCCAGCCGCCGGACAAGCTCCACGCAATCCTGGGGGACGCGGCCAAGGTCTAGGCCTCCCAGATTGGGTCGGGGGAGATGCGGTCTGAGGATCGCGCCGCATTGCCGATGCATCGCCGATGCGGCTCGATGTGGAGCCCGATCTGTTTCACGTCGACGTCGGCGATGCATCGGCGACGTCGACGATGCGTCGCCGGTGCATCCACGATGCATCGCCGATGCATCTCCGATGCATCGGCGATGCGGCGCGATCCTCCGACCCCATCTACTACGACCCCAGCTAGAGGGCCTCTAAGGAGACCGTCCAGCTCCGCAAGGATCGGATCTGCGCGTAGGAGTGGCCCTTCGCCAGAGCGACCTCTGGTGCACGGCCTTCCGAGAGCCCACCGTGCCGCAAAGTAAACGGGACGGATGTCGTTTTAGCTATTTCTGTTGCAGGGCTTGACCTAAACGGTGTTTTGGGCGATTCGTGGGCCGTTTTCGTTTCGACTTCGTTTTGCGGTAAAGGCAGATTCGAGACAAAAGCGAGGGACAACGAAAATAAAACGAAAACGAAAAACACCGTTTAGGTTCAGCCCTGTTTTGTTGCCTCCAGGGGCCTTCCCCAGGCCCCGGGACCGTCCAAAAGGGCTCAGGATGAACACTGGCCTTGGGGAAGTGGACCCGACTTCCATGGACCCCGCACGGAGGAAGCCAGGGCGTCGGAGAGAGCGTTTCCGCGGGCGACCTGTATGCACCGTGCTGCGTTGGCGTCTCCCGGGGCGCCGTCGATCTGCGACCACGCCATGGCGCGGAGCCTGGGTCCTTCACCGGAGCCCAAAGACAGTGCTCGACGGCGCGCTGCCGGGGGGAAGTGGGAGGGGGCGGGCTCTCTCAGAAGGCTCGTGAGCCCCCTGGCCTTCTGAGAAGTTGCCGCAGCCTTCCCCGAAGGCACGGACAACCTCTCATATTGCGCGAGGGCTTCTGAGAAGTCCCGCCGCCTTCTGGAGAGGGCCCCTTCTCCTCCTCGCTTCCCCCCCTCGCCCGCCGCCGATGTGCCCAGTGCCGCGCTGGAGCGAGGACGGAAAGGAGTCCAGACGTGGCACGGTGCACGAGCGCCGTTCGTCGCCTCTCCCTGGGGGCGCCTCGGGGGGGGGGGGGGACGGGAGACAGGGCCAGCCAGGCCGTTGCACACGCCGGCCGCTGCCGCCGCGCCGCACGAGGCGAGCGGCAGGCCGCGCACGAGAGAGGCCGCTCCGGCCCGGAGTGGCCAAGCCCGGCGCGCAGCTCCGCGAGGACATCCTGAGGACCGTCCTGCCGCCGCAGCGGGCGGCGACGCGCCCCCCCTCGGGCGGCCTCGCGCCCCTGTGGCCCAAGGCTCGCCTGGCCACGGGCCAGGGGTGCGCGCTCGGCGACGGCGGAGGCCGCTCGTCGAGGCCGTGCCGTGCGCGCCCGGGGCTTGCCGTCTCCCTGTGACCACGCCTTCCTCGGCCGTGCCCGGTCCGACGCCGGGCAGCTCCGCGCAGCAGTCGAGGCTGATGCCCGGAGCTCGTAGACTGGAGAGTCAGGGCCACCAGTACACCTTAGGCGATGCTTTAGAAAACTTAAGTTTTCGGCCAGAGTCTCGATTATTCTTAATGTTTCAATGTAGATCCTAAGATTTGAATAGACATTCTGGATGTTTATTCAAATTCTGAGACTATGAATTTCTTAACCCATGATTTCTAAAGCATTTCGCAGGGTGTAGACTCCGAAGGTCGTTGGAGATCGTTTAACTATGGGACTTCTTGTAGGTCTGAGGCCGTTTGGGAATTGTTGGGGCGGCCCCGAACGCAGAGCAAGACGATCCACATCGTGTGAATCATCCTGATTTTATAAGCGGGACGTCTGGAGACTTGTGATGTCCTACGTCGCGCGCTGGATCTTGGGTCTGGCAGTACACGCAGTTTTTTCTCATCTCCTGTTGACATGTTTTTGCTTCTGGCAAGGGGCCAGGGTTTCAAGCAGTCAACCGGCTTGAGAGCCTCTTTGGCCTCCACGCTGCCCCCTCTCCCACTGCCACCTTCTCCCTCATTTCCTCCTGTCCCCCTCTACCCGAGTCCAGGGCCACTGTATGTTTTATCTTTCACGCTTCATCCACGCCGTTGGTCACGGACTGTGTGCGTGTGCGTGTGAGTCATTCATATTTGCCACCTTTCGCAGCTCAGCCCGTCGATGTGGCTGGACGCTTGCCAAATACCCCTTCAGCCGGAGCTGGGGATTTTAAAGCCTGTGCCATGGCGCGCGCTGGCGAGAGACATGTTCTCAGGTGACAACATCTACCCACAGAGAGCGAAGGCTGTAATGTGTGTTCAAATGTTGGAGGAGGGCGATTCTCACATTCGAGGGCACTGCGCACAAATCCATGGGTCTAGAGTCTGACGAGCGGCTGCCGTGCCGTGCCGTGCCGTCGTGGCGTGTCGCGCGCGCGCGCGCCTTGCCAGGCCGTGCCTCCACGGCCCAGGCTCTGCACCGCAGCGAACCTCCGAGTGCGAAGCGGGTGCCGTGCCGTGCCGCGCCGTGCACGGTCCGCGGCGTGGGGCGCAGTGGCCCTGCCCTGCCGTGCCGCGCCTGGCGGTGGGAGTGCGAACGAAGCTGCCGTGCCGTGCCGTGCCCAGTGTGTCAGACTGCGGATGGGGTCCCCGCGCTTTGCAATGCCTGCGCGTGTGCCCTACGATGCAGCGTGGATGTTCCGGGTCTCTCTGCCGGCTCAGTTCGTGCCAGTACCTCGCAAGGGCCTGCACAAGCTTGTGCAGGGCCTGCGCGTGTGCCCTGGGCGGCTTCCGGGCGCTGTTGGCGTTCTGCCCGCGCAGGCCTCGGCAGCTTGCGAGCGTTTGCTCTGGAGGAGAGCCTCATCCCTTCTGTGACCTACACGGCCAAAGTGCTGCTGCGTGGAGAAGGAGGGAAGAGGGAGCGGGACAGGGCAGGATGATTGGTCGGAGAGCTCTCCCGTTTAAAGACGGTCGGAGAGCTCTCCCTTTTATAGATGGGGCAGGTCCCACGGTTTTTGAACTGACGCTGCGGCGTCACCGCATGCATGGGTGCTCTGAGCAGTTCGTATGTTTCTTATTCTTCCCCGCCGCGCCATTCTACACGGTGCCCCCGCAAGTACTCGGGTGCCGTACAGAGCATCTTGCTCGTAAGGGCGAGCGGAGGCCCTTGGGTGAGCCGCAGTGCCTGCAAACTCCACGATGTTCTGGGGGCCTTGGGGGCCACTCTGCGATCCTCTGCGGCCAGCGCGGTTTTTGGAAGCCCTCTCGGCCGGGAGGCCTGCGGAGGACCTCCGAAGAGCCGGGCCACCGGCGCGCCACGACCACGGCCTCCCTCGGCGGTGGAGGGGGGCGGCAGAGGCGGGTCGCGCCAGCGAGGCACGACACGGCGCCCGGGCCGCCTGCTCGACTGCGGTCACCAGCCTCACGGTGCGCCGCAGTGCCGGCGTTCGCTGGAGCTTTTTGTTCGAGGTGCTGGCCAAGGGGACTAATGCGTTCTGCGGCGTGAGGGACCTGCCTCGAGGTTCTGCAGCATGCGTGATGTGCTTGCCGCATGAGTGGTGAGCGTGCTGCACGGCCTCTGAGAGGAGTGCTCGTCGTTCAGACCAAAACAAGAGGGTGCCTAGGGGAGGAGGTGTGTCTAGGAGGGGTGGGGGTGCTCAGGGGCAACGGGAAGGGGGGGGGACAGGCTTAGGGGGGGCACCGATAGAGACCTGATGGCCCACTCCGCCCAGGACCGTTCGGTTTCGCGATCGGGGTCCTAGCGCCGATCTATCGACGATATATCCCCGATTCATGCTCGATGCTTCCCACCCTGAGCCCGTCCCCCCCCATGTCCTTTACCCTCAGGGGCGGGCGGTGGGGGGATCACTGAACGTTTCATCTGGGATTCTCAGTTCGGCACCTGTTCGAATCTTTTCTGCATGGTGCCGCTGGTGCCTCGTGCCGCAAGAAATCGCATGCTGGGCTCGCTGCGTCGGGCCTTAACGTTGCTGCTCCTCCGGAAGCGGAACTGGCGAACAGCGCAAAAAACCAACGCAAGCGGAGCCCGACGCGCGCGCACACACGCGCCACTTTTTCTCGGGCGCGTCGATGTGGTTCAGGAGGGGAAAAAACACACAGACACAATTAATCGGCGATTCCCAGAAAATATGGGAAAATATGGGAAGTGGGGGGGAAGACAGAAACCCAGAAAATATGGGAACATATGGGGGATATTTTTATTTGTGTGTATTTATTTGTGTGTCCTAATTTCCCTTTATTTTTCTCAGGCGCGTCGATGTGGTGCAGTCGGCGGATAATGTGGTACGAAGGCGGGTTGCGCCCAATGCTGACGAAGGACATGCGGTGCGTGCTGGGAGCGAAGCCAGAACTGCTGGCCTCATTGAAGCAGGGCTCGCACGCACGTGCAGACGCTGGTGGAAGCGCAGGTGCGGACTATTAATTACCACCGTTGCCATTGCGATTGCAATTGCCTCTATCATTTTCCAGCCTACCGCAACCATTGCCACTGTCATTGCTACGGCGATTGCCACTGATACAGCTTCTACTGGTACTGCTGTTGATGTCGCTGCTGATAAATGCCAGGCGGGCTGATGCTAACAGACCACCCCTCCCCATTGACGCTGTTCGGCAATTCTTGCATGCTCTTCTGGAATAACATAACAAGAACGTGTCCTAACAGTGTCTTGGAAGCCCCTTAGCTGTCCTGGCGGTCGGGAACTCAAATAAGCGAGAACCTGGCAGTCTTTCATTAACCGAAAGAAATCAATGGCCTCTGCCTCCTCGTGCTCTCCTGGAGGGCCTCTTGGAGCCCTCTTGGGCCGTCTTGGGGTCCTCTCGGGTCGTCTTGAGGCTGTCTTGAGAGCCTTATGAGCCGTCTTGCGCCATCCGGAACCGTTTTGGTATCGTCTTGGCTGTCCTTGAAGCCGTCCTGACGGCCATCTTGGCTGGCTGGAGGCTGAAAAGAGTGCCGGAAAGCAATTTCTGAGGGGGCGACCTCTGAGTGGGCGATCCCAGGACGACGCGTGGGCCGAGGAGGGGGGGGCGAGAAAACCTTGAAAAACCCTCCCAGACAACAGACAAGCATTCTAACACGCCCACTCCGTGCAGGCACTGCGGCGGATTTGAAAACCTCGCGTGTTTTGCCAGTCTGTCAGATAAGACCATGCGGGCCACACGCGCGCGCAATGCGAACACACTCAACAGCCATCGCGCGCCTGCCAAATCTGTCAACCTGGGCCGGCACGGGAGCGGAAAGAGCGCTTCAGGAGCTTGCCCGAGATGGCTCATCGCACCCTTCGCTCTTGGGAGCCTTGGTGTTAAGAGCTCGTGCCACGCGCATTTTACATAGTGGCGGGTTTCCCTGGAAGGTGCAGCCAAACCGATCTCAATATTTCTGTATAGTGACGTTTTATCCCGTGTGCGCGTATATATCGCGGACGGCCCCGGGATGCATCAAGACAATCACGCACGTTTCTTCTATAGTGGCAGTTTTCCCCTGGAGGGTGCAGCCAAAACGATCTGAAATATTTTGTATAGTGATGTTTTGTTCTCACTGGCGCTCATGTATCGCAGACGGTCCCGGGAGGCACGAAGACGATCACGCGTACATTCATATAGTAGAGGTGGTTGTCTCCTGGAGGGTGCAAACAACATGACCTCACGATCTATTTGGGAATCGCGCCGTCGCTCGAGACCTCCTCGAGACTCATGCAGTAGCCACGCTTCAGCAGCCCGCCTGCTCGACCTGGCCGCTCGGGCGCACCTTCCCGACCCGCCCGTCACGGTCTACAGTCGGGGCCCTGAAGACGGAACCCTTTTCGTTGGGGAGGGGCTCGGTGTTCCTTGATTGTTCTGCAGTTTGCCTTCGGTTTACCTGAGGTTTCCCATGGGAAATCGAAGTTCAACTTCTGGAAGAAAGGGGCCTCGTTCCTTATTTGGAGTTCCTTAGGTCAACGCCCCCACTGTACCCGCCCGATGAGCCCGTCTGGTTCTGCCAAGCGTGTTCTGCTCCAGGCCCTCCTCCTGCCAATCCCGTGCTCCGTCCTTTTCCGTCCCCTTAAAGGGTGGAAATTCCCTCCGTGCTCTCTTCCCCTGCCTTAGGGGCTGCAGTAACTGCACGCGGCAGGCAAGGAAGCTCGACCCCCAGGGAGGTACGATCGAAGACGAAGAGGGCGGGCATCGAGGATTTGGGAGGTACGGCTTGAATGACACGCAAGCAGGCAAGAGCGAGCAGCCTTACAATGTTTGTTGTTGTTGCTGTTGATCTTGTTTTTGATGTTGTTGTCATTGTCGTTGGTGGTGGTAGTGGTGGTGGTGGTGGTGCTGTGGTTGGTTGTTGTTGTTGCTGTTGCTATTGTTGTTTTTGCTGTTGCTGTTGCGGTTGCTGTTGCTGTTGCTCTTGCTGCTGTTGTTGTCGTCGTCGTTCCACTCGCGACCTGGCCCGCGACCCATCCACGACCTGCCAGCGACCCGCCCGCGCCCCACGCAACCCACCCGCGACCCGGCCCGCGACCCACCCGCGACCCACCCGCGGCCCACCCCGCGCCCGCCCCCTCACTCTGATCCGCAACTGCGGGGTGCTTTACATTGTGGCGGTTTTCCCGTGGAGGGTGCAGCCAGAGCGATTTGAATCATTTTGTATGGTGACGTTTTTCCGCATATATCGCGGACGGTCCCGGGATGCAGCAAGACAATCACGGGAACGACAGACACTTGCCTGAGATGGCTCATGGCACCGTTCGCTCTTGTGGGCAATGGTATTGAGAGCTCTTTACGTTACAGGTCGCCCTTGGGGACACTTTTGTATGAAGAGTTAGTCACGTCACTGTGGGCTCATGGGAGCCTTGGTATTCAGAGTTTTTTACGTCACCGTTCGCTCTCGGGAGCGTGATTGTTAAGAGCTTGTCACCTTATTCGGGGCTTTTTGAAGCCTTGGTGTTCCGAGCATTTTACGTCGCCGTTCGCTCGTCGGAGCCTTGGTGGGCAGAGCTTTTAACAGCACCGATCGCTCTTGGAGCCTGGGTGTGAAGAGCTTGTCACGTCATTCTGGTCTCTTGGGGGTCGTGGTGTTCAGAACATGTTGTGTCACCGCTCGCTCTTGGGAGCTTTGGTGTTCAGAGTTGCTTACATCACCGCTCGCTCTGGGGAGCCCTGGTGTGACAAGTTTGTCACGACAATGTGAGCTCTTGGATTATTTGGTGTCTCCGGGCCTTCTTTGCGTCTTGTTGGGCCCCGCCTGGGGCGCTTTCGGGGCCCTCTTGGGCCGTCCTGGGGCCCTTTAGGCCCGTCGTGAGGCGTCTTGGAAGGCTTTGGCCGTCGTGAGGGCTTCATTGGGGCCTCTTATGGGGCCCACTGGGGCTCTCGTGGGAGCCTCTAAGGGCCTTCTTGCGTCTTGGGGCCTTCTGGGGCCTTCTGGGGCCGTCTGGGGGCCGTCTTGGGGCGTCTTGGGGCCCTCTCGGAGGCCTCTTGGGCCGCCCAGGGACAATCTTGGGGGCCTTTAGAGCAGTCCTGGATCGTCGGGCGCCTGAAAAGCCGAGAATTTACAACGAACCAGCAATAACGATAGGAGCATCAATGTTTTCGGCCTCCTCAATCCGCCTCGGGGGTCCCCTTGGGAGGCTCGTAGGCCGTCGTCGGAGCCTCTTGGGCCGTCTTATGGGGGCTTAAGTCGGCTTGGGACCCTCTTGGGGCCGTCTTGGGTCCTTTCCGGGGTCTCCTATGCCATTCGTGGGCTTTCCTGGGGGCCTCTTGGGGCCCTCATGGGACCCTCTTTGGGTTCTCCGTGGCTGTCCTGGGGGCCTCTTGGGCCGTCTTGGGCCATTTTTGGGGCCGTCTTACGGCAGTCGCGGGGGCCCTCGGAGCGTCTTTGGCAGATCTTGGCCCGAAACGGCGAACACCCAAACAACAATAACAGACCTATGGGAAATCAATGTGTTTTGTTTCCTCGGGCCTTCTGAGGGGTCCTCCGGGGAGGCCCGTGGGCCATCTCGGGAGCCTCTTGGGCTGTCTTTTTGGAGCCTGAGCCGTCTTCGGGCCGTCTCGGGGCCTTCCTTGGCCTTCGTGGCGGCCTCCCATGGCACTCTGGGCGCTCTCTTGGGCGCCTCCTGGGGCCCCCTAGGGACTCTCTTGGGTGCCTCTAGGAGCCCTCTTGGGCCGTCTTGGAGCCTCTGGGACCGTCTTCGGGCCCTTTGGGGGGCCTCTTGGGCTGCCTTGAAACAATCATTGGAGCCTCTTGGGCCGTTCTTGGCCCGAAAAGACGGGAGCCCGAAACACTTCAAACACAATTGACAATCAATGCTCCTCCCATGGACCACTTCCTGGAGGGTTGCGCCCCAACTCAACGTCATTACTAGTACCTCGCTCTTTCCGTCAGCCGTACCACTCACGCGCGTCTTCCCGCGCGTATTTCTAAATCCTTCGGGCACCAGTCGTGTTTTCAGCATTTCAACTCAGATGCACTCAACAGGGCACGAGCCCCTTCTAGTTGATTCAACTAGCACGTACGCTGCACAGTTGCAACTTTTTCGCGCGCGCATGTCCTCATCATCTTCACCAGCGCCGTTGTCTTCATCGCCAGCGTCATGACTGCCATCGGCTTGTCAATGTCATCATCATCACCATCGTCGTCGCCATCTTTTACCGCTGTTGTAAGCACAGTCGTTATCGATGCTGTCGCCTTCGTTCTCATCGCCACAGCCATCATCATCAACATCATCAGCATCAGCTTCATCATCATCAGCATCATCCTCACCCTCATCACCTACCATCATCATTCTCATCATCATCGTCGTCATCCGTAGCCGTATTGGCTCAAGGATCCAATATGGTGGTTCGCATTGCCCCAGCGGGGTGGGCACCCATCTCAGCCAGAACAACCGCGTTCATATTCTCGCAGCAACAGCAAGGGGCGAGCTGCCGCCCAACCCTCCATATTCTCTTACGTATACTCGACCTTGTGTGCTGCGTGCTCACAGGAGGTGTCGCGATAAGGTTGCCTTCGGTAAGCACTCCAGCCCCAACGTTGTGGCCACGACGGTTTACTACGCGATGGCGTCAAGCAGCGGCCTTGGGCCATCCTCCACGCCTACACGCGTCCCCGAATATCGGCGCCAGCGCAGACGAGAAAGAGACGCCCGCGGTTCTCGCAGTGATCGGGGCAGCCGACGGCAACACCGCCGGACTTCCCCAACTCCAGTAGCCAGCCGTGAACCCGAACGACGATATGCACATGAACAGCGAACACAACGACCGCGTGACGAACGGCAGGCTACGCCTGAGGGCAGACGAGCAGGATCCTCTGGAGGCCCTGCGACGCAGCAAAGAGAGCGCCAGCGACAACGCCAAAGAGAAGATACACAACAGTTGCTTCGTGACATCGAGCTTTTCCTTGCCTTCCCTGGTGGTGAAGTGCAACGGCAAGCTGGCGACCCCCTTCAACGACAAGGTCCTTGGGGCACTGCGACCCCCATGGGCACGCCTGGGACTCCAGCAGTGCCTGCTTCGCAGGCAGGTTCTGGTACCTCCGCCCTGGAGCCCATTCCCAACGAAGAACGTCTCTCCGCCGTCTTCCCGGACCACATGCTACGTGCAAGACAACGCCTTCAACAAGGACCTATCACCATTATGCAGTCAGTCACTACAGCATTGCAGAGCGAGTTCAAACTTGTCACCTCCCAGGTGCATCAGCAGAAGCAGCGCGTTGACGGCATCGGCGCCTGCATGCGCGATCTCGGCCGCCGCACGCAGATGGCCGAGCAGGAACAACAGCAGCTCAAGGCGGACATCGAGCGCATCCAGCCGTCTCTCGCCATGGTCTTGGCCACGGCCCGCCGCTGGACACGGCGTCGCTTGCTGCGTGGGATAGGCCGCCTGACCCTCACCTCTACAGCATTGGGGCGCCATCTGCAGCCCGTCCTTCTGAGGTCCGTCGCTCACTTGGGTCATGGCTCTCAGCAGCAGGTGTCTCTGTCAGTGACGTCGAGTTCGTCGGCGATGTGCCCGCTTAGAGGTTTTTCCTCCGCGCGCTTGGTGGGCCAGCGGCCTCTTCCAGGAGTAGATCTCTTTCCCCTCAACTGACGCACTGCTGGCCAATGGAGAACGTTTACAGCGCCCAATACATCAGGAGCGATCGCGCCTTTTTACATCCATGCAAACAAGTCGCCTAAGCAATTGCGAAGATAATTGCAAACAGAACGTTTGGTCATGCATCTATCAGAGCGTCATCCCGCGCACCACATCCCACCACTTTCGCAAGGTTGGCAATGAGGGCATGGTCTCCATCGGCTCGATCCCGCCCGTGCCCATCGAGGTCGGTGCCAGCGCAGCAGACAGTGCACACTCACGATGGGATGGACATGTTGTCCAGCGGCTGCGTCTGGACAAAGCCGTAGTCGCCGCCGAATTCCAACTTCTCTTGCGGGCCACCGACACATCGTTGTGGCATGTTTAGTCCGCGTTGGATTCTGGGGAGTGCGTCGCCGAGCGCGCAAGACATTTATTTTGCGCCATGGAATGCTCGCGGGTTGCGCTGCTACCAGGCGCGCGCGCATGCGCAAGCTGCATATGCTCAAGCTGCAGATGCTCATGCTGGAGATGCGCAGGTAGGTGCCCATCTCCAGTTACAGGAGTCGCACATAATCCGGCTACAGCTGGAGGTCCTGATCGCCAGCTTGCCGTTCCAGCACAATCTCCTCCGCTCCATGGCGTCATTCTCGCATCAGGGGTGCGTCGCCACGCTGGTGACATGGCTGCCGCCCCTGTCCGACACACTACGTCCTGTTGTCAATTCTCATCCGAACGTACCTGGTCGAGTTGCTGCGCTGAGTTCTACCTGTGCGATTCGCGGTGCCTGCTTCAAGATCCTGTACGTCCGCAACTATGGTCTTCCTGATTTCAATCGTGGTCACATCGCGCTCTTCTGGAGATCCCTCATGGCCCGGAACGCTGCTGACGCTACCCCGCGCGCCTTCATCGCCAGGTGCGCCGTCGACGCGAGGGAGAGCAACTCCCACAGGTATGACGAGCCGATCGCGATGACGAGCACTCTACCAATCAACCGTACACATGAGTCAATGAGGATGTTCTGGCGACCTCTCTTGGACGCGCTGCAAGAGATCCGCCCAACCACTCCGACGCACTACGGCCGCCAACAATGCTGACCGCAGGCGTTTGACAGGACCTTCACTGGCGTTCATCAACACTACCTGTTAGACTCAGTCGTCTTCGCCACGATCGATTCGGACCCCGTGGAGATGCCGCAATCCAACTTGGGCGACCACGCCGTGCGATGCCTCTCGTTCCGTGCCATGACGCCATCTCACGCCGCCGAACGCCGCATCTATGGCGTGGTTTTCAGCGACGGACGGTCCAAGGACACGCTGGACAGCCTGCTCGCCGTCGCCAGCGCAGAGCGCTCCTCGCCCGCCCGGTAGGCGCTGCACGAACGACATCATTATAGAGGCTGCCCATCAGACTCGAGATGAACGTCAGCGATTGTCACTTCGACCAAATGACCGCAGGGCACGGGGGGGAAGCGCGGTCAAAATGGAGAGCACTCCGCGAGCAGTTTGGCGACAGGGCGCTTTTCTGGTTGCGCTGGCACTTTCGACCGCGGAAGAAGGGGCACACTTTTTTCTCCAGATTGATGATGGACATGCTCGGTTGCTTCATTGCGAAGAATGTCGGCGCAAGTTTCGCTCGCGTCATGCTCCGGGGCTGGAGGGGGCGCAACGGCGCGCTGCGAAGGCTGGCCAGCAGGCTCAGCGCGCTGGTGATATGTAGGGAACTGCTGCTCATTTCAAATAGAATGCGTTCGTATCGCATGCAAAATATATGTCTGCATCCAAGTCGGATCGGGGGTGACTGGGGCCGCCAATGGGGTGGGTGCCGCTCGCAAGCGGTGGGCGTGCGCGTGTGAGTCTCCAACGGCAGACAGCCCAGCTAGCGCGAATCCCTTATTATTACAGCGCTGCTCTGCCGTTGCTGGACTTTCCTGCGCAGCGTTGCCCAATTCCGTGGTGGATGCTGTTGAAGGAGAAATTTGCATTGCACGATGCTCTATGCTCACCACCCAGCACATTATTCGACACGCGGATATCTTTGCATTCGAAGATCGTGCGCCCACCTCTTCAGCCTGGGCAGATTCTCAGCATTGCGAGTCTTTGGCGCCCTGCGCATTGCGTGCTGACGGGCTGGGAAGCAGCTTGTCGCTCCTGGTCAGAGCGGGCGGTGAGATATCCCCCGCTTGTGGCATGGATCCAGCAGAGGGGGAACGCACCCAGCTGGAAGTTTCGCAAGGAATATGACTACGGTTTCAATCGCTCCAGGAGCATGCCCGCGATCCGAGCGTCAAAGCCGCTCAATGGATGAATGCCGTTCCTTCGGCCCGCGATGAGATAACGGATTCGGCTGGGGAGCGGTGGGGGGAGTGTCTCGCTGCCCTTCGGACACTGCGTCTGTCTTGGCAATGTACAATGCTCAATGCCCTCGCAGGAGGGTGGACGATCACGCAGCGCATGTACGTCTCTGACGCAGCTTCCTGCCTGTTAGGAACCCCGATGTGCCCAACGTGATTGCCATTCTTTTATCCTGTCCCGAACCTCGTCGCTTCCATGGCCTCTCCACCTCTCCCATTCATATGCTGGGTTTCGCGGCCCCGAACGGATGCGATTCCGCCGATTGTGCGATGAGCCGAGCTGGAGCAGTGGCACTCTGTGTATTGGCGTTCCGTTTGTACCGCAAGGCCAAGGCAGTGCATGAGCCTGGCCAATCGCTGCGCGACGTGCAGCCTGATGGCGTCCTCGTAGCTGCCTGTCACTCCTCTTTCAGGTAGGCTGCTGGTGGACGAACCGCATTATAGATGCGGTCGATCATCATCGTCGTCATCATCGTCATCATCATCGCTGTTGTCGCCGGATGTCGTCGTCACCATCATCACTCGGTCGCCCGAACCATGGATCTGCAGAAGCAGGGCCTGCGCTTCATTACGCCTGTTGGGACTTGCGAGTCAGTTCCGACTGGTAGCATCACTGACGCCCTGGACAAGTGGGCATTCGAGTTGCTGTTGGATGTGTGAGATGTCCACACGAGCTTTGGAGTTGGTCACGCGCGGATGCGTCAACGTTCATCGCATCCCAGAGATTGCATCACGCAGCTTGACCGCGAATATTGCTCCACACAGGGTGACACTCGTAACTTGCACCACGTAGATTGCGCCACGTAGATAGCGCCATATAGATTGCGCCACATATTGCAAGACACAGGTTGCGCAATGCACGGAGTGTGCCACAAATTTTGCACATCAACAACGGAACCACCCACTGTTTGGGTTCCAAGCTTGGCAAACCTGCCGTCTCTGGGTTTCTGTCTTGTTCTGTCCTCTTCCATGGCAGATCTCGGTGTGTTGTGCCACCCCGGCCGGCCGGTGCAGGCCCAGTTGATGCGCCAGAGCTTTGAGATGATGGCGTCGCTGGACTACGAGGCAGATCGCGCCGCCATGCGCATACCATTATGTGACTCTCCGCGGCTGCCTTTCGGAGGCGAGCGATGGGGGAAGTGAGAAGGAAAAGGCCTTCTCAGAAGGTTCGGATGTCCCCCAGCTGTCTGGGAAGTTTTCTGAGCCTTCCCCGACGACAAACAAAACTGCTCAGAAGGCCTTCTCCTTCTCACTTCCCTCCCTCGCTCGCCGCGGAGCCTTGCGGTCGGGCTCTTGCCTGATCGCAATGGGCGCTGGCCGGAGCTCTGGCCGAGGAGCTGCGGGCCGCGGGCGCCCCGAGTGGCAGGGGCCGCGGCGCCCGAGGCCGCGGACGCCACGGGGGCAGTGAGGAGGAGGCGGAGAGGGAGGAGGAGGAGGAGGAGGAGGAGCAGGAGGAGGAGGAGGCGGAGGAGGAGGAGGAGGCGGAGGAGGAGGAGGAGGAGGCGGGGGCGGTGGAGGAGGAGGAGGAGGGAGGAGGAGGAGGAGGAGGAGGAGGAGGATGGAGGAGGAGGAGGAGAGGAGGAGGCCGCCACGGGGCAGTGAGGAGGGCGAAGAGGAGGAGGAGGAGGAGGAGGAGGAGGAGAGGAGGAGGAGGAGGAGGAGGGAGGAGGAGGAGGAGGAGGAGGAGGAGGAGGAGGAGAGGAGGAGGAGGAGGGAGGAGGGGAGGAGGGAGGAGGATGGAGGAGGAGGAGGAGGCCCGCGGACGCACGGGGCAGTGAGGAGGAGGCGGAGAGGGAGGAGGAGGAGCAGGGGAGGAGGAGGAGGAGGAGGAGGAGGAGGAGGAGGAGGAGGAGGAAAAGGAGGAGGAGGAGGCGGAGGAGGAGGAGGAGGAGGAGGAGGAGGAGGAGGAGGAGGAGGAGGCGGAGGAGGAGGAGGAGGGGGAGGGGGAGGAGAGGGGGAGCCGAGGTCGGCGTTTCGGGGGAGCGCGCCGAGGTCGGCCAGAGCTGGGGCCACGGAGGGGGCCCAAAAGCCCTCGTGTTTCCCGCCCTCGCCACCTGCGAGTGGAGCCGACGCCGGGAGCGTGTGCCCGCGCGTGCTGGGGGGCTCTTGGGCGCGTCGGCGCGCCGTTTCTGTCATTCCAGAGCTACGCTGACCCGTCCGCAGCGTGGCGGCATCGCGCGTGTGCTTCTCAGCTCATCGCGCTGTCTGTGCGCTGTGTGCGTGTGTGTGTGTGTGTGTGTGATAGTTGGTGGTGTTTTGTGTGCGTGTGTGTCTGTATGTGTGTGTGTGTGTGTGTTGAGTATGTTTTGTTCTTGATTGTTGAGCTAACTACCTCAGAAGACATTTGAGGATCCGGAGTTGGGCCATACTTATTAAGCTCGCATTGCGAAGTGCTGCGCTGACTCGGAATCGATCGATCGGTTGATGGACGATGGCTGCGAGCGTTGTTAAAGCGATTAGCCAGTGTTTGCAATGACCCTGCTGTCAACTTCAATGCAACCCAACCCTTAATTGTGCACCACGCTGGGACAGCTATCGATGCCAGTCATAATCTTCTGGAAGCATAGTGCAAAAGTAGCTGGAGCGCCGGCCTAAATTGATATGCGTCTCGCAACACAGGCTCCAAGCTCAGATTGGGCCAACATGGTTGCGGATGCCATGATGCAATGTCGTCCGTAGCCATTTTGGCTCAAGACCATTGCTTTTTTTGGCTCAAGGTAGCTATCTGCTCAAGGTCTCCAAATCATCCACCGTGCGTGGCACTTCACCTCACTGTAATCACTTGGGATTGCTCGGACTGTTGGGCTCAGTCCCAGCATCTGTCGATTCGTGTGGGACGCGATGCCAGACAAGGAAAAGGGATCTCCGAAGAAGGAGTCTGTTGGTCGAGAGGACCGCGGGTGCCCGAACCGGAACCCCCGGACGCGACATTGGAGGCTGTACAGGAGGCGGAAGGTTGGTTTTGGTATTATCGGTGGCTGTGGGCCCAGATGACCATATCACAACTGGGCAGATGAGGCAAATGATGGAGCAGATGATAAGCGACATGATGAGCATGACAATCGACGTAAAGAACGAAGTGACTCAACGCATCGACGAGCAGATGGGATATCTCAAGAGCAAGGTCGCCGAGCGCCGAGAAAACCGAGGAAGTCAAGCGCGTGGTATCTCTGGCCACTGGGGCCTAGGAGGGCGTGGTTTCACTGAAGCTCGAGATGGCCAAGTTGTGGACGAGTGAAAATCGGCAGAGACGAGGTGGCGAAGATGATACCGCAATTGCTTGGTAGCAACGCCGGCGTACCAATCGTAGGTCACACGACACGAACGAAATCAAAGGCTAAGTAGGCCGACCGCGACAGTAACCCGATGCCAGAGAACAAGATCGAGTTGCTGATGCGCACGATTGTTTAAAAGTGCTCCCCGAAAGACACGCGAGAGAGCGCTATCAACAAAAAGATGTCATCAAGAACCATATGGGGGAGCACGCTGAGAAGTTGGACGGGGACCTTTTCACAGTAAAAAGTGCCGCCCGGAACGCGCGCAAACGGACGACGCACGGGCGCGAAGTTTCGAATGCGGAAGACAAGCTTGGGTGCAGAATCGAACCTGCCAGGCTTCCCGGCGTGATCCTCAGCTAACCTCTCCTGTTGGCTCCCTCCTTGAGCCGCGACCGCCCCGCGCGGCCAATGTTTTCAACGTGCGGGGGAAGAGATTTTGGGGCGGCTGGGGGCCCCGAGACCGAACGGGGTAGCTTGCCTGAGCTTGACGTGGCGTCCTGGAAGAATACGTTGCGCGAGATGCAACAACTCTTGCCAGGCGAGTGCCCGGCGATCTCTGCGCCCGCTTCCGCTGAGGCCAGCAGTTTGCCGCGGAACCCGAAGGGGCAATGCAGTTGTTATATTCGCATTGGGATTCTGCTCGCGTGCGTGATTGGGGCGCGAGCAACGTGCGTTGTTCCTCGTGCTGGCCAGCCAGCTACCCGCCCGAGGTGGCGGACGGGCAGGGGGGCGCGGCAGCGCCCAGCACCTGCTGGCCCACGCACTCCGAGGAAGCGAGGGCGGCACAAACGCAGATCTGCTGAGTTCCGCGCGGGTTTCTCCGGGATCGGCGCCGGGACCCCTTTCAATGGCGCGCGGAGCGCGCGGGGGGCGGCACAAGAGGGCCGCCAAGGGGGCCAGGCGCTCGGAAAGTTTATGTTTATGCACCGGTTCCCCGAACAACGCTTGCACTTCGGGTCTCTTACAGGTGCTATCAGGACCTGTGACACTGGCGAGGCTGGTGGAGGGGGGGGTGGGGGGAGGGCACGAAACCTGGTGGGGAGGGTTGGGAGGGCATGAAACATGGCGGAGTGGGGAGGATGGGGAGGCTGGTGGAGTGGGGAGGCTTTGCAAGAAAGGGGATGCGAAGCTTGGACGAGGAGGAGGAGAAGGAGGAGGAGGAGGAGGAGGAAGGAGGAGGAGGAGGAGGAGGAGGAGGAGGAGGAGGATGGGGAGTGAATGAAGGAGCAGTTGTTCTGGGAGCACAAGAGCCCTACTAAGGGTGTGGGGAATTAGGCAGGATGAGAGGCTTGTCTGGGGCACAGCCCCCAGAGCCTAGGACCCGTTTCTCCCAGGACCCGTTTGTTTCATGCTAAAGGGAGGGGGGTAGGACATGGGGGAGAGTGATGTTCTCACATGACCTTCTATAGAATGAGCGAATGACAAGCGGGGTGTTCGAGCGCGGGTGTGCCGTCACAGCTTGATCGCATCGGTCTTGGCGTTGCCCCAGCGTCTTTGTTTCTTGAGCGCAGCGTGTGCGGGCATGTGCTAGTGCGGCAATGTGTCTTCCCCTGCCCCTTCCGTTCGTCGCTGATCCCAATTACACAGCCAGCGGATACTATTCTATGTTCTCCCCTGGTGCTGTGTTGGTTTGCGCCTTCGTTTGCAGCGTACGCAAGGTATTACAACGGACTGGTCCGCGTTGGCGTCCGATGTGTCATCTCTTGTCATAAATTTCTCGCTGTTTCAAGATTGATGCTCCCGCTGAAGCGCCCGCTTGCCACATTTAGTGAGCTCAAGAGAGCCGCCGTCTAACGCAACGACGCTCTCGCCCAAGTGCTGACCGTCTTGCATCAGTGACGAGTGTGCGTCCTTTGCAGGGTTTGCCGCATTTGCAGATTTCCGTCGATCGTCCGTCCAGTGGAACGGTGCTCACGTCGTAGCGGCGACCGCAGTCTTGCATCAACGACACTGATGCTCCCGCTGCAGTGTTTTCCACATGCAATGGTGTATCTAGAGCCTCCGTCCAACAGACTGGCGCTCTCGCCGCATCGCCAGCCGCAGTCCTACATTAACAAACATTGGTGATGCTGCTGTCGCATGTGCCACATCTAAGGATTTCAATTGGGTTTTGTACAATACAACGACGCTCTCGCCGTGGCGCTAGCCGCACTCATGCATATGAATTTTGTTTGTGTCATCCCAGAGTGGCTCTGCGGCGACCTTCGCTTCATCCGTGTAGTGGCAGCGCTTTGATGTGTGTGTGTCGATTACGTCAAACCGCCTTTCGCTCTCGCTCCAGCGCTGGTGGCATTCCTGAACCAGCGTGTGCCACATGAAATGTTTCATCATTGCGTATTACTTTTTATGGTGTTTATCTAGTTGGTGTCGCGAAATTGTTTGGATGCGGCGTCCACTGAACACATCCCACCTGACGAATCGCGCATCACGCGCTGGGGCCATTGTGGATGTCCAGGTCCTCTAGGACCCCCCAGCCAGCGAACAGGAAAGAGCTCAGCGCAGTGGGAAGGCAGGGGTGGGAGGGGTAAGATGCCAGGTCTGGCGCGCGAGCGCAGCCTGCCCTCTCGCCCTCTCTGGTCGACCATCTCCCTGGGCGACCCTCTCCCCACCCTCTTCCCTGAGGATGCAACTCCTGGAATATTCAATTCAGCATCGGCGCTGGTAGATCCGTGGTCGAAAACCCACCGAATCGGGCATGTCCTGCTCAATCCTTAGATTAGTCCTTCTGAATCCTGTGAGCTGGGCTGGTCAGGCTCAGTAGCCCCTTACTCGAGCTCAATCGCCCTCATCCGTTCCTGCGAAGACCTCCCAGTGCCTCCTAACTTCTCGCCCTCCGTTGCCCTCCCCCTTCCCTCTTGCATCCTCCCGTGCTCTCCCCCCAGAAAGTTCCGGAAGTCTCAGGACGTCTCCGCAGGCCTCTTCGAGGCTTCAAACGGGGCAGACATGCCCAGAAGCCTCGATCCTCGATGCTCCTCCTCTTGACGTGGAGGGGAAGGCTTGTATGGACTTGGGAGGAAGAGACTTGGGACGGGAGGGTGCACTGCAGCATCGCTGACGCATCTTGGGTTCAATCTGGTCCTCGTCCTCCCCCTCGTTTAGATCTCTCCCTCTCCTCCTCCTCCACTCCTTGTCCTCCTCCTCACCCTACTCGTCGTCCCCCCCCCCGTCCTCGTCCTCCTTGTCCTCGTCCGCCTCCTGATCGATGGCTCGAGGAGCAAACATGCACAAGCATAAACCTTCGCACCTCCGCGCGGATGCCTCGCATCGGCGCCGGAGCCCTCCACCTGGTGCGCGGAGCGCGCCGGGCGCCGCGCCCGAGGCGCCGACGGGGGGGGGTGCCCAGCGCAGATTCGAGAGCTCCGCGCGGAGCCTCGAGAGTTTCTGTATATGCTCCGCTGCAGTTTTCTGCTCCTCGAGTGGTCCCGTGCATGGACATGAGATTCGAACCCTGTGGCCCAAGATGCCTCCCAGACCCCACGAAGTTAATATTGATGGCGTGGCGACGGGGGGGCGTGAGTGGACAGAAATATCCGAACCCCAAAGCACCGTCTTTACTGAGGTCAACATTGATGTCGGGGGCGCGGGGGTGATTTAGAATCTCCCTCTAATTTGTAAGGGTTCGAATCTACTGTCCATATACTGTCCTTCTCCCTCTTGTTCCTACTCCGGGACCAGGTGGACGGCAGAAACCTCGAGCAGGCCCAGGCCGCCTTCCGCGAGCTCAAGCGGGCGGCCAACCGCGCGAGGTTCCGCCAGGAGCTGGGCTCTCTCTCCGGGCTCCGCCGCGTGGTGCTTCTGACCTGCTGCAGCTTGCAGCGGTCTGCTCGTTCGGCGATCTCGTCGTTCCCTCGCTGTTGCTTGTTGATTTCTTGGCTTCCTCGCTTCCCTGCTTCGTGCTTCGCGCGCTTCTCTGCTGCCCTCTGCTTGCTGTCCGCTGCCCTTTTTCTGCTTCTGCTCCTGTCCTCTTCGCGAAGTTGCTCTTGCCGATGTCTCGTGTGACATTTCTGGCGTGTCTGGTGGTATTCAGTCTAACGCCGTGCAGCCATCGGGTAATTGTGGATCTCTGTTGTTGAAAAAAGTTGTTGCAGTTTGGAGTGGCGTTGAGAATGAGCAAGTGAAGCAAGGCGCCTGGCTCGAAGAATTCACCTCGGCATAAGCACAACCTTTTGGAGGTCCGCGCGGACTGTGTGGACCTGCGCTGAA